TAGCGTCAAAAAACATAGTGAATTGTATTTACACTGTTCCAAGTTTATTTTCGAGACTGATGAATTTTCATGAAAATCGAGAACGCTCGAAATTGTAACACCTTGGTGACTTTATAATAATTATGATACGAGATTAAAATATCAAAAAAAAAAAAAAGAAATTCCATCCACATCGTTTCGAACGCTCGGCGAGCTTTAAAAACTGCAGAATTTCATCAGGAATTCAATTTATTTTTTTGGGCGACGAGATTCCGCGGAATTTAACGCGACGAAAGGAACGCGAGAAATGTTTTGGCAATTGAACCGTTTCGGATCGAGACATGTGCTGGGAAAGACGCGCGTTCGATTCGTCGATCGAAAGGTTCGTTCGTTTTCAACGTACATACGTCTCGAGATAGCAGGAGGGAAATACAGCTGCAACGACGACGAATAAACACGGGAAACGGGCGAATAACGTGTCTGGCAAGGTTTCAAAAGAAAAATCTACGCGATGCAATCAGAGCCCTTAGAGTTGTACGAGACAATCGATCGAAAAATACCTATATTGCCTTTACCGCAAAATTTATTGTCAATTTCTGAACAAATGAATCGTAACGTTTTCGATTCTTCCCGTTTTACGATAGATAAAATAGAGACATTTCATGGAAAGTAATAAGAAACGCATTGTCTGACTTATGGCTGACCTATACTGGTCCACGCCTGACCTATCACGGATCTATACTACTTACTCCGTAAAAAAGGGGTAAGGCGCGAAACGAATGCATTTTTCGGAATAAAAAGGCATAAAACAATATTACAAATTAGTCTATATTATAATATTAATCATAATTTATACTTAAACACTGCTGTAACTAGGATTTTTATCTGAAGGATGTTACACTCTCTAGTGTTTTGTGTTGCTTAATTCCAACAATTTTCATTTACAATTTCACAAAAATAAAAACTGCATTTGACTCAAATATACAGTGAGAGGGAAAATAGAATATCTCGGTTAAAATTGGACTAAATAACTTGAGGTTTTTTAACAAGCTTTTAAAATTAATTGACTTAAAAAATTACAATTTGTTGAAATCGTGAAAAAAAATAGTGAATGGTAATTTTTCAACTTTTGTGAAGAACGTGACTAGTTCTGTTCTTAGATGAAAAGTCGCGAATTTCGAAAATTTTAATTACTTATAACTTTTAAATTTACGTTGACTGATCTCGATGAAATTTTCAGCATACACATAACTTATCTGACTCATATAAAAAAGTTGAAAAATTACCATTCGCTATTCTTTTTCACGATTTCAATAAATTGTAATTTTTTAAGTGAATTAATTTTAATAGTTTCTCATAAAACCTCAAGTTATTTAGTCCAATTTTAACCAAAGTATTCTATTTTGAACAGTACTCACTTTTGCCTCTCACTGTACATTCCCAATAAGAATTTATAAACTAACAAATCTGTCCGTTTATTTCTCTTAACGACACAAGTTGTCCTGGTGTGTTCTACACAATTAGCATTAATCTCACGGACAACCACCAGGGTAACCTTAAGCATAGTTGAAGTTCCATCAAAGTTAAGGTCGGCTTGATCGCCGGTGTCCACCGGTTGACACGTTCGGACACGCGTAACAAGCTGAAAGTTAGCAGGACAGAACAGGCGACGACAGTGAGTTGGCTCGCAACGCTGCTTTCTACAGGTGGTCGGTTGGCATTCACGATGTCAATGGCTCGTGCTCGAATATACCCGCGACAGCCTCGTTACGAAACTCTTGGCAAGAGACCGCGCGATATCCGAAACAGCCTGGCAAAAAACTCGTGGCGCCGCGCTAACGATTCGAACTCTAACGAAATTTCAGACGACTGAACGAGGGAAAGTTCGCAATTTTCGTTGAAAAACGTTTGCTTCGACTTTCATTAAAGTAGCAATCAATTTTCAAACCGATCACCGATTCCATGGGAAAACGCTGGGAAATTTCAGATCAATATTCGAAAGGAGAAAGAATAAAGAAAAATTCGCGATTGCCATTGGGGTAGCAATCAATGTTCGAACTCGATTAACAATTCCGACGAGATACGGCAGAAAATTCGAGGAAAATATTTAAGAGAGAGAGGAATGAACAGCGAGGAGGTTGCTTGATTCCCGAATAAAGTGATGTCACACGAAGAAATGTTTATTTTGAATATAGAAGGGATTTCATTCTCCGCCGGCGTAACGATCAATGTTCAGACTGATCAGGGGAATTAAAGGACGTAAGATCGTTGCAAAACAAACACAACATCGTGGCTGGACTGACATCGATCACGAAACAGTAGCTCGTTCATTCGAGCCGCAAATTAAACCCGTTCCGTGTACGAAACGTCGATCGGACGTCTTCTTTCCGTTCGCAAATAAACATCGACGGGATTTCGAATAAATCTTAGGGGGTGGAGCGATAGAAAAAGATTCCGAAAATAAAAATGACCACGTTGCGGATGTACAGCGCGACGCGAATTGTTAATTAAACACGGAACGCTTGTTTGAAAATTTCTACGTTCCACCATCGACCCTGTAATTCCCTGTTCACGGTGGTTCTTGGTCACGAGTCCTGTTTTCGCACGTTGAACACATGGAAAAGGGATGAAAACGGGCGACACAAGCCGAACTTGCGTGTCGCTATGGTAACCAACCTACGTTGGTTGACCTTCGCTAGGGGATGATGTTCAGGGAAAACAGTAGAAAAGAGAAAAGAGGGAAAAAAGTGTGACAAAGGGAGAAAGACGAGGAAGGAACAAAGGGGACGGAGAAATTGAGGGCAATGTTGAAAAACTTCTTTACAGCCCCAACAGGAAATTTTCAACTACCCTCCGTTCCCGGAGGCTTTGTCAAACACCTTGGATGGCATTTAGAAAAAAATAATTGCTTCTGAAATAATATTGCTTTCGATATAAAACAAGGAAATTAACGGTACGAATGCGGAAATTGGAAATGACAGGGTGGATACACAGGGAATGGAAGCAACGAGCGTACAAAAGCTACCAATGGGATTTACGAGAAATAAAAAAGAGAAAAGAGGATATGCAGTGGAAGATTGAAGATACACGTAAAGATTGCTTTGAAGACGACAGCATAACAGGCGACTCAAAGGATTAGCAGCGTTGGAAAAGTACATAAAATTTTTATACGACTTTTGTTGCTCTCTTTTCTGTCCTCTTAAGTCTTTGATCCCTCCGGCTAGACTTCCGTCAAGCTTCTGATTAATCGCGAACCGGCTTCCGGTTGACGAGAATCTTATCGTGACGCTTGGATTACATCATCTAATTATCAGAGCAATTTTTACCATTTCAATTACCAGTTTATGGAACGACGAGGGGTGGAAAGCGTCGCTGAGATATTTTGATGATTTGGAATGATCAAAAGCGAAACTGCAAGTGAGAAATTATTCTTGAAACGAAGAAAAGGTGGACGTTCTATACAAGTTGGTCGACCAACGTGGCACGATAATTTAACGGGAACAAACGCCCGTAACTACGAAGTCAGTCGTCACCTCCGTTTCCCATGAATTTCGTTTTATCGCAAAACGCTCGTAAAATCGCTAAAATTAGCTGACATAGTATCACGCTCCTTTCGAGCGTCTACATTTATTCCTGTTCCCGGTAGCCCGGCGATATAACCATGGCAATGTTCGGAATAGAAACAATATCGTCATACGGAAATTGGGGTGAGGAAGGAAAGGGATTTTAGTGCGTATTCTTCTTCGATGATTTAGGGGAAGAAAAACAGGGGAGCGAATCAACAACCTGTTGAAACGTATCGGGACGTTTCATAAATCTTCGCGTCTGTTTAGGTAAATTTTATTCAACGGAAAACGAGAAACATCGCGTCCCTTTTTCCTTTTTCTAATATTGGAATTTTAAAGAATCTTGGATTTCAAGAAATAAATTAATCGGATACCTTTAACTTCCTTCCTAATATCTTCATCTGCCATTCGAGAATTAATATTTACAAAATTTTACGTGAAATTATTTTTGCAAGGATAATTAATAAAAAAAATATTGGACGGCTAAACTGCACGGGGATTCGTTAAAACGAACGGGAACGAAAAACTTTTCCTCCTCGACGTTCAAACTTCCTTCAAGAGGAAAAGACGACAGGAACTAGTTTCAAACAAAGTTACCTCAAAACGGAAGTGCAAGTATAAAAAGGAAGGATGTTACTTTTCCGACGATAATGCATTCGAAACCGCGAAATCCTGTCTTTCTTAAGGAAAAAAGAATATTGTACCATAATTGTTTTTAAATCTAACTATTCTTTAAAGCTGATATTGTGTTATTTCCTATCATTGTAGGATTTACCTTTTTAAATATATATATATATATATATATATATATATGTATATATAGATGCGTATTCGCTGGATTCAGAAGGTTGAAGGTCAAAAGGATCTCACCCGAAGGATCAGAGATAGATATCGAAAGCGCGACCTCGATAAGACTTGAGGCGCATAAACCAGAAAGGAATAGCGGAAGTTACAAGTGGAGATTTATCGAGTGTCTGTTTCGTTTGATTTCCGAATCGAACACTTATTGAGTTCAGAAATCCGTTTGTGAAAGTCCTACGTTTCCTCAACGTATTTTAACCTTTTGCAACATAATTCTTTCAATTTTGAAAACAAAAAAATACATAACGAATAATTGTTTTTAATTTAAAAAATTTAATCAAGGACACTGCACATTTACAACATTTTGTAAAAGTGTAATTTTCATTAGATAATTTCATTTATAATGAAGTGTGCAACTCACTTATGGTTGAAAAAAATACTATTTGCAATAAAATACAACAAAAGGTTATGAACCGTACTTTCTACACTTGAGAATCTGTCATGTGGTCGCATTTTTATCGACGCAGTTTACTTAAGAATCCGCGAAAATCATTACCGGCAAATACACGAAACAAGTAAAAATGGCACAAATGATCGTAAACGCATTCGCATATTAAATCAAAGAAATAATAAAAGAGAATTATTCAAACTCACCATTTCTGCATCATCCCGTCGTTGACGCTTCGGCGCGTCCCTTACGTTTCCGGCATCGTCCTGGACCAGTGTCGCTTCCGTTGGGATGCAAAGTGCAGTTGCAGTTTCACACGACAAAGTAAATGTCAAGTTCTCGTCACACCAATCGTTGACAGTCGTTCTGAAAACTGATATAAAGTAATCGGAGCACACGATATTCGAACTCGACAGACAACCACAATTACCGATCCGCACACGCGTGAGGCGCGAGACCGACTGGCCATCTGGTACGGTCTCAGACCGTCGCGCCGGCGCAGGCGCCACCTGTTCTCCCGACTCTGTGCATCGCCAGTGACTACAAATCCAACAAGACTGGACTGGTTTTGAATTTGTGCTTCGAGAACGAACGCCATCTGTTCCATCCTGGTATAAAAAGCAGGAACACTTCGCGCTGTAACAGAATTTAGCAGAAATTAAATAAATTGATTAAAAGGGTATTTGTGTTTCACGTTCAGAAATAGCAATGTAGGTTAAAATCTGATTTTCGCCAGCTGCTTCGTTACACACTCTACAATTCTAAGGATTGGGTAAAACAACAGGGAAGCAGAACTAATTTTGAATAGAACTCAGCATGAACTCTAAAAACACCGTTATGATACTGATAAAAATGCAATAATGTTCAAGAAATTGTTGATATAATGGGAAAGTAATTCAGATTTTGTTATTCCAATTTCATTGTGAATTCGTGGCGGGAGCAAAAATTTTCAACTCGCGTATTTTTGAAGAAAACGCCAAATTAATGCCAAAAATCAGGAATCTAGATGTCCCTTCGAATTGTCTTTCTGTTTTTTGTACTTTTAACACCCGAAAAACAATTTAATTTTAATATTTGAAGATAATTTAATCTCACCTGTTGCAGACGCGTGCAAAACGAACGAAGCTTCCAAGAAGAATGACGTACTGTGTCACACTCCGCGCACTTAACCTACAACGACGAATCTGATTGGTGGAAACAGAGGACGCCGAGATGGGACGACTAATCACAGCCACTGATAGAAATTAAAAATTGCTTCAAAACTTTAATACTAATCGTAACGGAACGTTCATATAATAAATACCAAAGAAAAAATCGAATAATGAACATAATAAGAATAGGTGATACAAGGGAATTGAAGAATAGATGGAAATATTAACTCATAAATAAATAACCTTAATTAAGTTGAAAAAACTAAATCATTTTTCAAAGTACGAATTATGAATAGAAAGCTTTTAAATTATTGTACATTACTATGGAACAACATCAATAATTTACAAGCAATCTTGTTTATTTAGGCCAATTTTAGAAAATTAAGTACATTATAATCGATTTTCAATAAGTAAATACATCATCAATTTTATCGTTGTCCGTTCAAAGTCGCAATTCACTCGCACCTTCTATAAATTTAAAAATTAATTACATTACTAATTTTATTTAAATGAATCTACTAACGAACAAAAATATAAAACGTGACTAGTGAATCATGTAGTAATATGTACGTACAAAGAAATATAACACAGGAATGAAAGTAGATATAATGAATATACCAGGTAGCATTAGCTTGAAACAGAAATTACAATTTTATCAAATTATTCCAATATATATTAAATAAACAGAAAAAATATTACTCTTAAATATTATATAGATTACTTTTGCATATGTGAAACGTATTAAAAAAAAAAAACATTTTTGATCAAATAAAGCTTAAAATGCTAACAAACACAAAAAATGATGTTTTATACATTCATTGTATTAAATTATTTATATAATTATCTATTCGTTTTGCATGACATTTTTTTTTAAAATTATTTGGTACTTTTCTCCCAACATAGCTGTTTACTTTGTACATATAGTAATGAAATATCACGAAGACAATAATTAAATTTGGTGGAACATGTGAAATAACAATTTGTGTTAAGCACGAAACACTTATACACATTGAGATATCTATATCTAAATGGAAGTTCTGTAAATTCGGGATAATTAATTAAATAGATACGTTAGAAAACATATTTGTATAATAAATATCATTTTTTTCCTGTCATTTTACATTTGAAGATAAACAGTTTTTTATATTAGGAACAATGATAAGAGAATCCACATACTGCAAAGCTACATAGAATAATAAAACATTTAAATGCCACAATTATCATCAATACGCAATAGAAACATCTGTTGTGGTTTTAATAAAATAAAATTACTCAGGAATGATTTATAAAGAAACGATACAAAATTTATATCAATCCTATCGTAAGGTGATTGCAAAACATGATTCTCTTCCACGTTGTTTCGCTAACTTAAAATGCTTCTGTCAGTTTAAAATATATTTTTCCTAACAATAGTACGTGTTTCGAACCTCGATGAATTTCGGTTTATGAAGTATAAAGTATGTAAAAAAAGTCTTTTTCCATCGTTCCGCCAGTCTGTAAACTCTTCAACAAGAAACATGTACAGACTTTTTCTACATTTGTCATTCAATTTAGTCTAAATACATAACACATGAAAAACATTACAGAGTCACCATATTATGATTTTGTATTTGGTATTGCATTTCTCTCGAATCATTATAAAAGATTGAAATCGTTCTTGATTGCACAAATACATAGGGATGATTATGAAAGACCGTGGTTCGTTTCACCGAAACAAATGTTACACCTAAGCAAAAGTCTTTTGCATTTCGTCCACATAATTCCTTACATAAGACATGAAATCTACCAATGCAGCAGACATCGATTTGTCTACAAGTTTCTGTGGAATCCAGCCTTTTAAATTTGTATTAATAATCCATGTGAATCGGCAACCATTTTTTTCGCCAAGAAGCTCTTCCGCCGCCCAACAACTTATATTGTTTTCGGCTCTTAAATAAGAAAGTGCAAAACATTTTTGACACGAGTCAAAAGATATTTTATATGACATAAGTTATTTTTAATCTTACCTAACATATTTATTACGATGTTGTACGGGGAAAGGCACCGATGTACCACTGCTAATATAATAATTACCGTACTGTGTACGATGTCTTAAAATAACGAAATCCCGAGCGCTAATAGCACCTCCACCTTGAGGACCCGTTGCTTGGTAAATAATATCCGTATCGTCGTCTATATGCTAATGAACAAAATTTCGTGAAAATAAATGATTTTAATTATTCTACTGTCGCGTGCAACTCCTAGGCTCTCCCTAGACTAAAACAAGCCCATGTTGCACCCAAGTGCACATATTTAAAAAAAAATGTTACCAATAATTTTTTCGATTCAACAACAAGTTTATTCCACGTCGGTAACGATTCAATGTCGTTGAATAATTGATCGGCAAGTACACTAGCAGGGGCCTCTATAAATCCCTGTAAAAAGAGTATTAAATTATCCCGAAATAATATGAAACAGAAACTCCGAACATTGAAAACTTACTACTATTTTAAAAATTTTTCCATCTATTTTAGGATGGTGCATATAAAATATAATATCACCGTTCGGCAATATACTTTCGATCTGCCAATCTGTAGACTGTAATAAATCATGACAATTCTGTACTAACACGTTGGCTTTCCTCTTGTAGTCCTCTACCTAAACACAATTAAAAATTCTCGTCCATTTAAAGCACCCTCATAAACAATTAAGATTCGGGTGTACCAATTCTGGTGTGAGTCTCGGCAAAGGCTTCGAACCGAATGCTTCGTTCGCTCTCGCGCTTCCTGGTCTTGAACTTTCGTCCTCGTGATCAGAATGATCCGGTGAATCCATAGGGGTGAAAAATGTTCCCGTAGGAGGTTCGATGCTTGTATACTGGCGTGTCTCCGACGTGACGCCTCGTAGAAGCGGTTCTCTTTCGCTATCAGCGAAATCTAAAATCAGTATCAAACTTCTATTCATGATTGGAAAACAAAATGATTCTTTCTTTATAAAAAGCAATAATGTATCGTACGCCTAAGCCAATTTCTAGCATGCGTTTCTTGAGGTAACACGCGAATGTCGAAGAACCAAGCTTCCACCCAAGGCAATACGAAGGACGTAAGGATAAGAAGAACTTGAAATACTGGTTGACTGCATGTTGACCACTAGGGAAAAAAGAGAAACATAACATAAGTGTTTCACTACCGAAATTCAATTTGTCAAACGTAGGAATGGAAACTTACATCGAAAAGAAATACTTTAGCGATTAAGAAGGCACAGGTCGTGGCAGTCGTCAACTAGAACAAATATCGTACCTCTTTTATAAAAACATGAACGGTACTAGAATATTCTGACGAAATTTTACCACTTACAGCTACGATGACCCAATGGTCCAAACGAAGCAACGCGTAGAAGAGCAACAACACCGTGAACCTGCAAATCGCTGCCATCTGAGAAGATGAAATCCGTAAAATCTCTCTGTTCACGAGGAACACGATGAAACAATTATCACGAATCGAGCGTGTTAACACGAATACTTACCTGATTAATCGTAATCGTATACACTTACCACTATATCGAACAAAGACGTCTTTATGTGATAGTGGACTACTTGATTCATGAAAGCCGATTCCAAGCTCTCGCCAGCGATCTAAAAACATGATTACGATTAAGTACGAATGCAATCGAAGATCGTTGCGACGAAGGTGGACAGGATTATTTACCATCGTACAAATGAGCCACATAAGAAATGTGAGCAGAATGTCGAAGGTGACGAAGAGGCAAAAGAAACGTCTAACGTTCGACATCCTCCCGTTTTGCATTGCGCCCGCGATAAGATCCTCGCTAAGAATGATATCCGGGGTTCGAGTTATACTTTGCTGAGTGTACGAGCTCCTCTGGGAGTTAACAGAACCGGTCAACAGTGTCTCCGCTGCCGCTCTAATTTGCCTCTCGTCCTCTGCCATTCTACCAGCCTGCCTTTGATATCTGCGACGCCGATGGCCTGAAAAAATAAGAATTCAACACGGTTGGTAATTGCTATACGAAGATCGGTAGAGTTACGTTACATGGACAATACTTATTGTTATGAAAACACACCAATTATCGCAAGTTTTTTTTCCTTTTCTTTTTCTGTTTTTTGACGCTGGAAACGATTGCATTGTGCCCGCGACGTTTCGCTATCTTAACCCTTAATGGTTAATACTACTATTAATATTAGGATTAGCAATTTTCTTTCTTTTTTTTTTTTAAATATCTACGTATCTACCGCGTACTTGATACGCGATAATAATAATAAATCAAAGATCTTACATTTTCAATGTTTCGGGATGACCTGGACACAGGGGTTGCATGTCGAATATTACTATATATCTATATGATAAAATACAGCTACGTCAATTTATGAGTAGATTAATTTTTGTACGACATATTTTAACAAAGAACACGAATTATAAAATTATCGCAAACACTTTTACAGGAATAACTGAAATGGGTTGATAAGGAAAATGGAAAAGTGGAATTTTTATAGCCGCAGAGCATAAGAGAAACATTTGAATGAATTCGATTTGTGTGAGAAGTGATTATGTTTACATTCGTAGATAAAAGCGTTAGATGTGTGTGCACTGATAAATGATCAATCAGTGTTACTAACGTACGAACAACAAAAATGATCCAAGCTTTTGTATCTAAATAAGTAAAGAATATATTATCAAACAGGCGTAGATCACTTTATTGATGAATATAACATTTAAAAAAAATCATTTTAGCGATTAATTACAGACATTAAAGACAGGAATTTTATTGAGTCATATGTAATGAATTCTTTCGTTCAATTGATATACATCGTTTATTATAAATATAAAATAATCATGTTTTTTTTTATACAAGAGGAATGTATAAAGTGTACGGAACGCAACAGCTGATACGGTCGATGGCCTTAACTTCTACACCAGTTTTTCGAAATACAACCATTATAAAGTGAATCGTACAGTCTTCTAGATCAGTGTATTCATATCGATATTTATAAGAATGATCTAATACAAATTAGAAAAATCAATGATAATGCGCTGATAACGATAGACCTCTCCTAGGGTATCCGTTCAATTGACAGTAATGACATATTCTAACCTCAAATACAACCGAGATGCTTTCCATCTATTTTCCATCTACAACAGACCGTTAATTTGTTGTACCATATCTTGAAGTAATTTTGTGGAAGACACCTTCAAATGGAATACATGTTCGGGTACATCGGTAAGTATTAAATACAAAGGAGTTAGGTCATAATAAAAAAGAACAAAGGTGCAGTGAATTGATGACTTTTGTTTACCGTTTAGCTCCTACGAATCCTCATAAATCCAATTGTGTTGGTAAAGAGCGAATTGTCAGTATATCGCACTCACGCATCATCCCGGGAGGAGCGATATTCAAAAAGATTCTTAATTTTCAATAGCACCACAAATATCACAATCGTTGAATGTAACAGGAATAAATATAAAGAAAATGCAGCTATGCATCTGCACGAGTTTCGAGTAAATTTTGCCTCGGAATGACGGTAGCGCCATACGAGAGAGCTGTGCATCGTGCCGTCTTCTTTACCGACAGTCTCACCTATGTTAATTTATTCGTAATATAAACATATTTGCGAATCGTGTGTCAAAATGGGTACCAGATTAACATCCTGTGGGTCAGATGGAATAAAACGAGCACCCAGGGGATGATGTACAACCTCTAGTTAGAAGAAATTTGAGAACTATGATTTCGTTCATTTTTCACTCGCAAAAGACGTCAAAAACGTAAAACAGACCACAAATTTAGTTTCTCATTTTTTCTGTAGGGCGCAGTTCATTCGCAGCTCGTGTACGTGAAGCGGCCTCGACGCTTGCGTTGTATTAAAATATTATATTAAATTGTGTGTTAGGTATCAAAAGTACAAGAAACAGAAGACAAAGTTGAAGAGAAGACCGGAGTCATAATTTCTGACATCATTTCCACATTGTCTTCAGAAATGCGTAAGCTGAAAATTTATACCCTATTTTGCCTACATAGACACGAATTAAAACAACATATTTCTCATTTATTCTGCTTTTATGATGATAATTTATTAAATACCATTAATATCTTATGTATTTTTCTGTCTTATTCCCTATATTTCGGTGCTTTAAATTGAAAAAAGTAATCTTGACTTTATTACAATATGGCGTCAATAGTTTTCAATTAACCTTTTCCTTATTTTAGTATTAAAGTTTTGTAGCAATTTGAAGTTTCTATCAATGGTTGTGATTGGTCGTCCGTTATGGCGTCTTCCCATTTGGACCAATCAAATTCATCGTTGAAAGGGCTGGTGTGCGGAGTGTGGTGGAGTGCGTCATTCCTCTTCGAAGCTTCGTCCGTTTGGCACGTGTCTGCAACAGGTAAAATTAAATTATCTTGAAATATTAAATTAAATTGCCGATCGGATGTTGAAAGTACAAAAAATAGAAAGAAACATCGAAGAAAAGTCTGAATTCTTGATCTTTGACATTAATTCGGTGTTCTTTTCGAAAATACGTGAGTTGAAAATTTTTGCTCTCGCCACGAATGTACAATAAGAGTAGAACAGCAGAATCTGAATTATTTCCCTTTATATCAATAATTTCTTTAACATTATTGCATTTTTTCTCGTTTTCAATACATATTTCTCATAATTTATTGTTATAAATCGTGATACTTGATTTTCTCGTTTTTTACTATTATAGCGATATAAATACGAATTAAAATAACATTTCCTTCATTTATTCTGCTTTTATATCAATAATTTCTTAAATCCCGTCAATATCTTATATTTTTTCTACTTTGTTTCCTATATTTTCATGTTTTAACCTGAGAAAAATAATCTTGACTTTATTTCAATATGGCGTCGATAGTTTTTAACGAACCTTTCCCTTACGATTAATATTAAAGTTTCGAAGCAATACGAAACTTCTATCAATGGCTGTGATTGGTCGTCTATTATTGCGTCTTACCATTTCGACCAATCAGGTTTATCGTTGTAGGGTGCAATGGGCGGAGTGTGGTGGCGTGCAACAGTCGTCTTCGAAGCTGCGTCTATTTAGCACGTGTCTGCGACAGGTAAGATTAAATTATCTTTAAATACTAAATTAAATTGCCGATCGGGTGTTAAAAGTACAAAAAACAGAAAGAAACATCGAAGAGAAGTCTGAATTCTTGATCTTTGACATTAATTCGGCGTTCTTTTCGAAAATACGTGAGTTGAAAATTTTTGCTCTCGCCACGAATGTACAATAAAAGTGGAACAGCAGAATCTGAATTATTTTCTCTTTTATATTATTAAGTTCCTAAACATTATTGAATGTTTTTAGTACTGTTTTACACAATTTGCTGTTTTTAATTTAATAACGTTGTTTCTTGAGCATCGTAAGTAATATTACTCCTGTTTAGACCTGTTCGTGTACTTACTTAGGTATCGGCCAATAGCGGAATTTACCGAAGAATGCCGAAGCGATGCCGACCGGTCTTCGTCGGGAAGGAAGGTCTCGCCATTTCTCTCGCGAACGTCGAAGTAACAGGACGTATTGAGAGCATCCTTCCGTATAAATAGTAGGTACTTACGTATTGTATCTGTTAAAATATTTTACATAAATTATAGTTCGATCGTTTATTAATAATAACTTCATTATTGTGGATTAAATTTTATTTACATAAATTCGTATTTCTTTTTTGTTACAGATATTTGATGGATATTGAAAGCCGTGACATCTAATATGGGTTTGAAATAGAATTTCGTAAGAATTTATTGTTTTAATTTATTGTAATCGATTATTAACATTTATTATTACTTTTTTTTTATCGAGTCGTTGTTAATTATAAGCATTTTTGATAATTAATTGGTACCAACGTCAAGAAAGAAAAATTAAAGACATTTTTTTGCTTTAATTAATTCATAGAAAAAGAATAATTAATTTTTCATTTTATTAGATAATTTCGTCTAGTATTTTAATAGATTTGTTTTAAATTAGAACAAAATTGAAATAATTCGTATTTTACTGCAAATGATTGCTTCTCTTCTGCGATTATAAATTATTTTAAACAATCTATTTTTGTCAAATCGTAGTAATTATATTATAATATCCAGCTCTCGATGCAAGTTTAAATTGAAATAGAATCACGTTTTTAAATCACATGCTGTTCAAGCATGATTAATTATTAAACTTTGCTTATTGAAAAGAATTAGATAATTTATAAATCATGCCATAATAGAATTTCCATCAATTTGTAATATGCTTACAATCATAACAACAAAAATCCTCTGCTTTAATACAATAGTCTATTATCTTTATTACAAAATGATTTTCTATCGATGTAATATTCATTGAAATAATTGTCAACAATCATTTAAAACATTTCATTTCAATCTAGGATGAATATTCAGCTTTAACAATATTTGTGCTCGTCGAATATATTTCACGAACATAGATATTTTCATTTACAAGTTATTAATAACAGTATTTCCATTACGAATGCTCAATAAGAAGAATGTTGTTTTGTATATTTCCACCCAGCCCATCCCTGCTCACTAAGTTTTTCTTTCAGGAATTGTTGTGGCCGCGCGCAATGCGGTCGGTAGAGTCAGTGTTTGTACGAACACATTTCCAATGTTTTGATTTATTCAAGGGTGAACTGGCCCTGAATAGAGTTGCGTTTGTACAGTAAGGAATCACGCGAAAGTAGAGTCAGTGTTTGCTGCGAATTATAAAATATTTTCTAGAGAATCGCGGCTCTGCTTTTTCCTTTGCATCGTGAAAGTAGAATCACTACAATTGTTCGCCGGAAATTATTCACGGTCGCGTTACTTTATATCTTTATTTTTTTTTCTTTTTTTTTTCTTTAATTGCTCGATATATTCGGGATTAGAGTCAATGCACCACTGAAGAGGAGTTTTGGGCGTTGCTCCATAAGGAAAGAGTGTAAGTATCTTATTACTTTATTTAATTAATTTTAATTGAAATAGAATAATTTACAATTTCAATACTTGATAATTGAGAGTTCTTAATTGCTATTGCTAATATTTTATAAAATTCAATTTCATATATAATTTTATTAGAATAAAAATTGATAATTTGCAAAATTAACCGTAATTCTTTTTTGTTTTGTTACAGATGAATTTTTTGATTGCCGAGTTCCTGGATATCCTGATGATGGCTTTCTTCACGACTTCCGTCTTGGTACGTTACTTAATTACTTTTTATTAAAACAGAATAATTTACAATTTCAACCCTTGATAATTGAGATTTCTTTTTAATTGCTAATATTTTATAAAATTCAATTTCATATATAATTTTATTAGAATAAAAATTTATAATTTTCAAAATTAACCGTAATTCTTCTTTTTTTGTTACAGATGAATTTCTTCACGACTTCAGTATTCTCCTACAAGGCAGCCTCCTACCTGAAGAAGAGTATATCTGCGAACGGTGAGTCGCATGTTTTATGGTTCCTCTGGTAGCCCACTCATGTCGTAGGACGAATGGTCCGAATCGACACGGGCTACTAGTTGTATACGTGCTTGGCAAGCATAGTGACCATGGGTATGATTATACATACCCATGAGTAGTAACATTTTTATTGTTTCATTTCATTTAGTTAGGATAGGTCTTCTTGTACTCCGCGTTTTAATATCATTTCAATTCCACATATTCTAATAGATATTTTTGAAATATATCAATGCTCTTAAATATTCTTAACTGTGGAATTAGAATATTTTAATACTGAAACAATTTTATTTAGTTTGTCTGTAATAGAGAAGTCAAATACTATCTGACTTAATTATTACGATGGTTCAAAACAATATAATATTAATAGTATTATGTAATCTGTATACTGGATATACATATTAATGATGCTGTTACATTGATTTAATTACATTTTGTACACTATAAATTCAAATATGATTTGAGAATTTTTTAAAATTTCATTCATTCAATAACGAAGTTTAACTTATTTACGCGTTCATGAAAAAATGAACAATTTATGTGCAAGAAGACAATTCGTGACGGGTAGATTTCCAATTCAGAGTGATCTATTTCAACACATTTTGCGTATTCTTGAAAATTTACTCTGAGGAGGGAGTCACCCGAGGATGTTTTATTAATTTTCACAACAAATTGTTGTTTCATTGCAAAGAATTCTTAATTAAAGACATTAAATTCTTTTTTATTAAAATTTTGCATTTCTTAAATTAGTGTTGCAAAAAATTTCCAGCGCGAGAGTAAATATGACGATGCACTGACTAGTATTCGGTGGGAATCCTTTTGGTTTTTAAACTCAATCCTTTTTATTATTTAATTAATCAAATTAGTTACAAGGATTCCGCGGCATAAGACCGTGAACACCATCTCTGGGAGATATACCCATGCATTACTAGGCCTTTGCAGGCGCAGCTTTAGAATACGGAATATATGAAAATATGTTACCATATTCTAAACTGTAGTCCTTTTGTCTATACTATGGGCGTCCGTCAATCTGACACCGTTGGATGCAACGTGTTGGACGGGCGGGTAGCGCTCTTAGCGAAGGGGTGCATCCTGTCCTGGCGTTACGACGTCCAGGCGGGGTGGGTGGTATGTAGCGTCTGGCGTAAGTCTAGGGGGCGTGAGACCCTTCGTTGCCAGCTGATATTAGCAGTGCACCATGTTTGCGTCATAGTTGCTCAATGTTACTTTTCTGTATTTGTTCTTAAAGCTTTATATTTACAAAGTCGAGTCACTTTTATTAAAATAGTGAAATATTAGCCCGTTAGATATTTATGTACTAATCATGTTTGTAGATCAGGATTTTCAGATTTAACCCCTTCCGTGTTTATTGCCAAAGCCCATTCACGTGCCCAGGTGCTACTTGGATGGGTAGAGGCAATGGGCACGATGACCTAGTTCATAAGAATAATAATTAATAAGCGGCTGGCATTGTGTTAGTATATCGTGCACGACGTAATCTCCACATATGGTGTGTGTGTTTTTAGGCTGTGGGATTGCGTCGGTTTAATAACTTTTTCATTTACTTTTAATTTGAAATAATATTTTATTCAATAAGATGTACGATGAACGTATAAACCAAATACTATTGTTATCATTACTATTACCATGATTATTACCATTACTATGAAATATTCTATATCAAAGTAGTTAATTAAATTTTGTAATTATCATTATACGCAATGATTGCTAGCCTTGCCAGACGATTTCAGTGAAAAATGGTACGTACCGTAGAGTGTGATGTGAGATGAAACTCGGGTGACGGAGGCGTCCCGGGACGTTCTCCCTAGTTTAGGCTCTGCGCCCGGGTGGAGTGTATGGGAGTCGTGGAATGAATTTTTGTGAGAATGTGATTTTGCCTTTTTTAAATATAGCGTTAGGTAGGTAGGTAGTATACCTTCTGGTGTGTGTGATAGATTGTAAGTAGGTAGGGCCGGGACAGGTTGTCACAGTCTCTTGGTCGGGTAGGCGCGATTTCGCGTGATCAACCTGTACCTGGAATATATTTGAAGAATTGACGATACGATCGATACGAACGGAGTATGCCGTTCGCCTTCGAATCTATCTGTACAATTTTTCAAATTTTTGGCGACTTCATAAGTCGTCATACGCGATCGCGATGGCACGAAACGCACAAGTTCTGCTCGAGCACGGCACGTGTGCACGAACAACGACTTATATAAAGTCCTTTTTCGTCCACGTGTCAATTAGAGTTTCGCGATTTTTCTTTTTTGTTGATTGTTTTTTTTTTGTTTTGCGAATTTGGAAGTCTCGAGCTTTAGATATAAGTTTCAGGTGGGTGGGCCGCCCGAAGAAAGAAAAGGCTATATGCCGAAGCGCCCCGACAAACTGTCTTTCAAGAGGGGAACTACTAATGATTTTGCATCCTTTTGCAAAAAAGGATGGGAAATCATTATCGTTACTACTTTGTCACTGTGCTTGCCTGTAGTTGTAGTTTTGTAATTTCAGGACAAGAGGGGGCCCGTGACCCCCATGATTTTGGGCAAATCGCGTTTTCAATTTAGTGTTGCGAATATTGACCACGGTTCAATTTAGTGTTGCGAATGAATATCGATCACGGTTCAATTTAATGTCGCGTATGCATGATTATCGCGATTTTCATTTAGTGTTGCGAACTTTAAATATCCCGTTTCTTTTTTGCATTGCTTTAAAATGGAATTTAACTTTTCAATGTTGATTGCTTTAAGATTTTTGAGAGTTTTGCTTTTTAATGTTGATTGCTTTAGTGTTGCGAGTAAAAAATTCACGGTTTGAGAATCCCCTTTTTTTGCATTTTAATTGCATGTCTGTTAAAGATAGCGTTGCGAATGACATTAGCGCGATCGTTTCCCAGTGTTACGACTTATAAATACGCGATTGCTTTGCATTAGTTTATAGAGTTCCCTGCTAATTAGTGTTGCGGTAATGAATATTCGCGTTTTGCATTAGAGTTGCGATATATGATGAAATGCCCAAAAACGATCCAGTGGAGTTGCCATGGTCTATAAGGCAGCTATGGACCAGCTGCCATGATACAACCTTGGATTGGCTGTACCCCTTTTTTAGATTAGTGTTGCGTCTTACAAAATTCGGTAGATTTTACTAGTGTTGCGTTACAGTTCGCGTTTTCTCTTTTTTTCTTTTTTTCAGCTTAGTGTTGCGTATAATGGAGCAGCCTTCACGCGTACGCTTTTGTACATATTATATAATTAATGAAATTAGTGTTGCGAGTAAAAAATTCACGGTTTGAGAATCCCCCTTTTCTGCATTTTAATTGCATGTCTGTTAAAGATAGTGTTGCGATAGACATTAGCGCGATTGTTTCCCAGTGTTGCGACTTATAAATACGCGATTGCTTTGCATTAGTTTATAGAGTTTCCTGCTAATTAGTGTTGCGGTAATGAATATTCGCGTTTTGCATTAGAAATGCCCAAAAACGATCCAGTGGACTTGCCATGGTCCATAAGGCAGCTATGGATCAGCTGCCTTGGTACAGCCTTGGATTGGCTGTACCCCATTTTTAGATTAGTGTTACGTCTTACAAAATTCGGTAGATTTTACTAGTGTTGCGTTACAGTTCGCGTTTTCTCTTTTTTTCTTTTTTTCAGCTTAGTGTTGCGTATAATGGAGCAGCCTTCACGCGTACGCTTTTGTACATATTATATAATTAATGAAATTAGTGTTGCGGCTGAATTCGCGATTGTTATTAAATTAGTGGAAGTAACTATGACTCACATTCGGTGGGAATCCATTGCTAGTCAAGGATTCCGCGGCCTAAGACCGTGAACACCATCTCTGGGAGATATACCCATGCATTACTAGGCCTTTGCAGGCGCAGCTTTAGAATACGGAACATATGAAAATATGTTACCATATTCTAAACTGTAGTCCTTTTGTCTATACTATGGGCGTCCGTCAATCTGACACCGTTGGATGCAACGTGTTGGACGGGCGGGTAGCGCTCTTAGCGAAGGGGTGCACTCTGTCCTGGCGTTACGACGTCCAGGCGGGGTGGGTGGTATGTAGCGTCTGGCGTAAGTCTAGGGGGCGTGAGACCCCTCGTTGCCAGCCGATGTTTTGTCATAGTTCAGAAATGTTTGCAATTTTGAAATTAGTGTTGCGTGTGATTTCGGTTTGTTTTATAGGGTTTGCTTAGGGATTGCTCTTATGGGCAGTCAAACTTTTCTTTTCAGGTTCCCCTGTACCTTCCCTCCCACTGCCACGCCCCCATTCGTTTTTCTTCCCATTTTTTAATTTTGAAAATTTTGAGCATTCGGTTATTGGAAATACTGTTAAATAATATATGAATTTAATGTTTTCAGGATATTATTAGATACGATAAAGTTTTAAAGAGAACTTTATTCAAAATTTTATTTAAAATGGAAATTCATTTTATTTTTTGATGATTGGTGATAATTTATTTCAAGGAATATTTGTTCATTCGAGATAGCTTATTAAATTTTTATTTTACTTTATTTAAACAAAAGTAGTGGATAATTGTTGTTCGAGTTGTTCAGTTTTAATTTTTGATCGCGATATTTCGTTTCAAGCTTACGGAGAAGCTAATTAAATTACTTTTATAAATTTTCAAATTCTTTTCCTGAATAGCAAAGTCCACTCGCGATTTTCTTTTCAGTTTTTCCATTTACAATAAATTTGCATTGAAAGGTGTATTGAATAATATAATACAATAAAGTCAAGTAGAGTTATGGTTGTACGTATATTGCAGTAAAAGATAATTGTTTCAATTAAAATATCGTGTACTGTTTGTTTGTTAACAAATGAACGAATATTAAATACTATAAAATGGAAAACAATCAATCCTTTTAAATCAAATCATTGAGTGACGATATATTTTTCTAAATCTTTTCTTTTCTTTATTTTGGTACTGAAATAAAGAATTGAATTGATGTTCCTTCTTTTCATTGGAAATGAGTCATTAACAATGACTCTGATTTTTGTGATATTTTGTGTGTACTAATGCATCTTCTTTTTAGCTATTAAACTTTTTGTCTTGAAATGGATTTAATTAATAAGTTTCTGTTGCAGAAAAATATCTCAGGACGTATTTTGGTAATTAATCCTTTTTAGTTTGTTTCAAGAAGTATTCTGGTATTAAGGTAATACGAGTCTTATTATTTCTGAAAATTGTATCTGATCCTTTTCCATATATTTCAGGAACTATTCGTGTATTAAGGTAATATGCGCCTTATTATTTTTGAAAATTGTATCTAATCTTTTGTAGTTTCTTTCAGGAAGTATTCTGATGAGGACGACAAAATCAAAAAATTCATTGTATTTATTTATGTACATCCCTCTAAATTTTTATATAAACACGTTGTAAGTTTATGGTTTTGTAGAATAATTATATCTTAATGACTTTATGGTCATTAAGTATAATCGTCAAACACTGCAGTGTTTAATTAGGAAGCGTTAGATTTAAGCGAATTTTTAATATAATTACGAGCGCTCGTATAGACCGGTATTCTTAGTAATATAAGTATGTAGGTCAAATATGCAATTGCATATTTATTAATTACAGATCTGTAATCAAAATCAAAATTAAAAAATATTGAGATAGGAATAAAAAGCAAAAATCTACGTAAATATATGTATAGATAAGTAGATAGGTAGGTAGTGAATAAAAATAATGCTCCTTTTGTTGTTCGTTTGCACAACCGTCAAAAACGTTTTGCAAATGTGCACCAAGAGGATGATGTTATTGAATAAAAGTAAAAATTTGCATAAATGGAGGGTGGATGGGATGAGGTAGGGCGGGTCTCCACCCGCAGCAACCTCCCCGTGGTGAGACCTGGGCAATCGTTATTATTTGATGACTAATTAATAAATGTATCATTATTTCTATGGTACATTTATTAATTATGCAGCAAATAATATGAGCGAATTGGCTGCGAAATTTATGTTTTTTTTTCTATTTAATCTCTGTTATATTTTTTTCAGGAACTATGCCTTTGAGATTTTGAAGTGTACCACATTCCAAATACAATTTTACGGAAAGGAAATTAATAATAATTAATGCATGGTCAGTATTGTTTAATTATGTACTTATATAATGCCGTAGAATATAACACTGTAGTACCAAAAACTATGTCGTGTTTGGTATCATTTTAAGCAGGTGATTTTTACAAACAGTTTAGTAAAAATTTCATAAAAAATGACCTAAAAAGAAAAAAGTTTTAATCTTAAATTTTGATTGTATTAGTTTGTCTCACACGCACATGAGTATTTAAACCTGCTTTTTCCCCGTACACTGCTTCGATTCTCGGCTGTCATCACACCAAAGGCGAGCCGAACTCGCTCGAGAAACTGTGGTTTCTCTGGCGACAGACAAAAATTGATCTAATTAAAAGCAAGTTTCTGTTCGACCTAATTTGTAATGAAACGTGGACTGTTTTACCGACGGAGAATTCGGAGTTCGACCTCGATGCAGTATGACAACTGAGCTGGCGCTTAAATCAGTTTCTTTTTCGATTAAACGTGGGTTGTTTTATCGACGCGGAATTCTGAATTCGGTCTTGACGCTTGCTTGAAATTTTTGTAGATTTTAATACAGTTATTTGTATCATTGTATTGAATTTTACTAGAAGAAGAATGTCTTTTTTCAATTTAAGTTTAAAAATGATTTTGGTTCCATTACTCCGGACAGATGGCTGTAGTATTTCATGACTCGTCAAAGTGTCGTTTTTGTAATTATCGATTTTAATGATTTAAGAGTACTATGATGTAATTACTTTTCTTGCAACGTGATCACAGAATGTTCTATTAATGCCAATGACACACAAAAGTTGCTAGTTTTTCAGAAAAATGAAATTTTCTGTTAATTTTACCGTTTTTGGATAGATAGCGCTAGTAGTACCATTTTCAGAGCACATGACATAAATTTGAAAAACAAAAATAATACCCGTACAAAGTTTCTAACAGTAATATATTTTTTTTTTATTGCATTTTAATTATAAATACTAGAATAAATTTTTTTAACAATAGTAAAATAAATAGGATAAATTTCTTTATTAACAGTAAAAAAAATAGAATAAATATACAATTTAACGGCAATGCATTGGTTGTGTCACCAAGATCATTGTTTTAGTCCTTTGAGAAACTGATAGACAAAGCTGAAATCCTTTTTCTCAAAACCATGAGCCATAAGAGCTCTATAGATCTGATGAGCCAAAGAACCTAATGGAATACTAACTTCCGCTTTAGTTGCAGCAGTCTGTACCAATCCTAAATCCTTCGCAATTAAAGCTGTACCAAAACCACCCTGGAAATAAAACATTAATTCCTCTAGTTCGTGTTACTCGATTGTTTAAACAAGTAAACTACGATCAACTACCTTATAATCGTTGGAGCTTGGAACATTGTCAAGTATACCGGGGACAGGGTTATACAACTCGGAAGACCAACATCTGCCCGAGCTGGAGTTAACAATATCAGCCAGAACCTTTGGATCTAAACCGAGCCTGTAACGCGATTAATTTAATGAGGCGATTATATTTATCTCGTATTACCATGTCTATCACGTATTACTTTTGTCCAAGATTGAACGCTTCAGCTGTACCGATCATGCTAACCGCCAAAAGCATGTTATTGCATAATTTTGCAGCCTGACCCATTCCAACGTCACCACAGTGCACCACTCTGGTTCCCATGGATTTCAAGAATGGCTCTGAAACTTGGAAATTCTCTTTCGATCCTCCCACCATGAACGTCAATGTACCATCTTTAGCTGCGTTTACACCTATTCAACAAACATTGCTTTCGTAATAAAAATCATTTTGTTTTTTGATGATTATCGTTACCTCCAGACACTGGAGCGTCTATGAAACGAGTTCCAGACTTCTCAGCCTCCTTGGCCAACGTTTGAGACACGAATGGATCTATAGTGCTGCTATCGATCAAAAGGATATCCTTTTTTGCTGAACTGAAAGCACGAAGAAGAAGAGACTGAAGCACGTCTTAACTGATAATTTGATTGATAACACTAGAAGACGCCCCAGGAACCCTGAAGCCACTTGTTTACCTCAACAGGCCATTTTTAACGTTGTACACATCGAGAACGTTTTGATTAGACGGCAACATTGAAACGACCACCTCGACGTCTTCTGCTAGCTCAGCAGGGTTCGAGGCTTTGTCTGCGCCAGCTTTCGTGAAATTCGACACAGCTGACTCGTTAACATCGTACACGACCAATTTGTATCCCTATTGTATCGGGAACGAAGCAAGTTCGATTTTAGAGGATCGTCGGATTAATTTTGTTAATCAAGTTACCTTTCTTAGGAGATTTCTTGCCATGTGACTACCCATGTTACCCAGACCGACGAAACCGACTCGCGAGAATCGTCGTTTTCCCGGAACACCAGAAACGAAGCTACCCGTGCCAGCACGGACAATAAAATTCGACGACAAGCTCATTTTGGAAAATGTTCCACGCGATTCACCGAAGGAAAATAGAATTTTTTAGTATTGAGACGCGCGTACAATCACGAAGGCCGAGGAACTTGCTGATTAACGCTCACGTCACTCGGTACATTTGACAACGAAAGGGTACATCGACACGCGTTCGTTAACACTGTAGAAAGACTGTCTTATTCAAATTGATGCAAATTAAAATCTTTTCGGGTATGTAATGCTCGTTAGACGGCTCGAATCGAAACTGAATCGAACTTGCCGACACACGAGCCTTGTTTACCATTTAAGTAATCTGTTATCGTACTCGTGTTCATGAATTCCACGGTATTGGCTAATTTTTATCGGCTAGATAAATTTTGTTAATTTTATTCGAACCGTCTCGTCTTCTAGTTTTGATCTGCAGGAATGTTGTTATTAATAAACAATACTGTATATATCGATGTTTTCTTAAGCTATAAAAGATATCGGAATTCAGTGATAAATTAAAAAATTCTCGAGGGCAACATTTACGAGAGAGCAAGGAGATCGTATCGTGTATGATGTATTGCACATCGTCAAATGAAACTCATTAGTTTTTATTACCCGCTGTAATTAAAGAGACCCTGAAGAATGCAATTTTCGTATCACTTGAACAATCGTTACTGTTAGACATTCAAATTATTTAATACACTTAAGAAGAAAAGTACACAGGGTAAGGAAACATAAAAACAACAGAGGCAACATTGGCTAACGATAAGAGTGAAAGTTGTCTACTCGGTTATCTTCGTTTCCCTAATCGCATGCTTGATTAATGATTCAGGCATCGCCAATTAAGCAACAACGAGACGAAAACATAACACTCGAAACTGGGCTAGTGAATTACATTTGATGTGTCAACTAAGAATTATAATTCTGTTTACACAGGCTTCTTTATCGTCACCCTTATCTGCTGGCAAACTGTACCCTGAACAATTATGTTTATGTACACCTGACGGCTTAAATTGCACGTATAAACGTGTCCCACAACCTGTGTATACACCTGCCCTTACGATCCACCCCCTTATCGTCCAAAGTCGAACGGATTCCCATTTCTAGACGGGATACCTTTGGCTTAGGTGGTGCATATTGGCTCTAACTTTTTCGTCAAAAAGTAGCAATCGAGTGTTTTCATTTTGATAATTATCCGAGTTTCAAAATTTATAGTGCCGGTCATGGGAAGTATGGTATAAAAGACAAGTGACATCATTTACAAAGATTACGTGATTCATCATGAAAATGTATTCATCGTTTCACATTCTCCCTTTATTTTTCTTTACGGTAATGGCTAAGAGAAACGACATGTTCGTGTCTGAATACGAATCCTGGATTTCGAATGACGATTTCACGACGATCATTAAATTGTCGTTTCCTCTCTCGAAGTGCTGCAACATTTTCTTAAGCGGTTAGTAAGAGGAGATACATTTTTTATCATTCATTCCTATGGAAACACATCGAGTGTCTGTTTTGGAATTGTATTCAGATTCGATCGAAGATTGGGAAGCACTGTTCAGTCAATTCAGAAGTATCTATCCACACGAGTACCTCTTGAAACGAAACGAATGTGACGGCTACTTTTTGCTCGGATCGAGTGACAACGAAATCATGCAATCCATATCAAAGTGATATTGAAAATGATATTGTATTATTTAAATCAGTGTTGGGTGAAGTTAAAATTTTTCATATTTTTTTTTTGACAGGATGTCGTCGTTGCAGACGAATAAGGAAATTTTGATTATCGTGAATAACAATGTTTCTGGTGATTCAAATATATTCGATGGTTCTATGTACGAAGATGCGAATGTAAATATAGTTTCTTTGTCCGGGATATGGAAATTATCAGAGAATTACTTGAAACCTCGAGTATTTACCAAACTCGAAAGGTAATTGAATTAAAAACAATTTATGAAGACGACTGTCGAACAGTTTTTACTTTTAAAAAAAGGTACGAAGAAATGGTGCACGATTATAATAAAATCGATTTCCAAGGCAAAGAAATTCAAGTTTGCAGCATATACAGACCACCCATGACTTATTTTAATCGTACGATTAATAAAACAATCGACGGTTCGGAAGTCGAAGTTTTCATAATGGATCATGGTAAATTGAATCGTAAAATACTATTGAAATCTGTTGGCTGCAGTGCCGGAATCGCTTGACATCGCGTCGAAGCGTATTTGAGACAATATTGCAGCAAATAAAATCACAGTTTCTTAACGAGCACTTTGTTTTAACGACGCGACAGTGACGAACTTTTTTATTGTTTTCACAAAAAACCGGTGACCGTTCCGACGACTCGACGCGATGTTATTTGAATTTCGAACAAAATCATTGTAGACGATTAACTCTCGGCGTTTTTTTGTAAAAAAGAGTTGGAAAGGGACGGTATCGAAATGCAATTGTTCTTGATCATGGCAGAGAAACTAAATTTCACCTGGACGATAAGAAAACCAAAAGGAAACTATAGGTATGGCAGACGAATCAATGAAACAGTATGGCAAGGTGGTATGATAGAAATGTTGCGTAATAAACAGGTACAATAATATTATCAAAATTATAATGAAATAGATGAAACTAATTGATTTATAATATGCATTCCAGGTAGACATGGCATTTGGTAGTATTTGGTTAACATACGATCAGCATGCATTTATTAATTTATCAGAAGCTTGGTACCAAGTGTACCTACATTTCTTGGTACCTCGTCCACGTCGAACGACGAGCTTTTGGGCACTAACTAGACCATTTTCAGAAAACGTTTGGTACCTATTAGTATCTGCAATATTCTTGCACAGTATTTACACCTGGGCCCGTGCTTGGCTCGATCCAAAATTTCCAAAACGTAAGCAGAAAATGTGTATCGATAATTTCTTTTTTCTAAACCTATGCCAATTTCAAACGTTCGCCTGAACTGGACGTAACAACGGCCATTTCGATCCGTGTCTTTCAGGGTTCCGAAATTTCCTAATTACTCTGACGGACCTAATTGGCTGTTTGCTGAGCAGCTCGGTGCCGAAAACTATGGCGAACAACAAACTACAGATACTTCTCTGGCAGACCGCTGGCTGGTTAATAATTACTGCTTATTGCAGCAGCCTCGCCGCCTGGCTCGCTGGTTCTGAATACGAGTCCAGGTATTTACTTATGTAACACATAGTAAATGTTATCGACGCAGCTAATTATTGGAAAGAAAGCAAAAAATTCAGTGTTCTTTGCTGTTTTTAGAATCGATTCCATCGAACAGTTTCTCGCTTCGAATTTACGCTGGGGAGAGATGGGACAACCGCCACCGTTCCGTGATTACTTCGATCTCACGGTAAATAGATTTCATATACTTATCGATGAAGATTAAAAATAATCAAATAAACCACTTGAGTAATCGTTCGATAAAGCCCGAACAAAAGAAAACAAATATACTCGATTCTTGTAGGATCCATACGCGTCACAACTTCCAAGTAAATACATTAATATAGAAAACAACACGCAAGTGCAGGCGTTAATTAAAGAGGGCAATTTCGCGATAATAGGAAGGATCGTAGACACGAGCTTCTTTCCGGATGACTATGTAACCAACGACGATGTTAAGGTATACTTAATGAAATACCGAGTTTCATTCAAGATAAATACTTAATGTAATTCTATCATAGAATTACAGGATGATGAGGCACTCGGTGGGTCACTATTACGCTGCGTTTGCTGTTCAACCGTGGCTTTTGAGACCCATAAATAGGGTAAATTCTTCAGGCATTAGTACAAACACGTATTATCGTTATCCAAAGCGATTTGTCACTTACAGTAGAATCTTATCTCAACTTTATGTCACCTCATGAGCTATTATCGTCGAAAACATTGTCGAAAATTAGTCTAACAAGGAATGGTTTTTAGGTGTCCGCCTCTGATTGTTTTGATTTTTAGATATGTTTTAAAGGACCGAAAAATTGGGAAGGCAGAACCTTCCAAGAATGATTAATTGTCTACTGTTTGTTAAGTGTGTAATAAGTATCACTTTTTTATGCATCCACTGATACTGTTTCATGGCGTTAATATCGATTTTGAGTCATATGATATAACTCATATTCGGCCGACAGAACTTTCTTGGTCATCTGATATATAGCTTGTAGTGTGACAAATAAGAAAAAGAAATAGATAAAATGTAGCTGGTCATATATGTTCTTTAGGTGAGAAAATCGTTGCAAGAATTTGGTATGATCGCAACCCGGCGTATGAAAATTTATGTTCTTTTTTGTTATTATGTAAATTGTGATTACTTTAAAAATAATATTATAAACAAATTATTTTTTACAAAATTTATGACCAGCTGTTATATGTTCATAAAAAACCATGAAACTTTTTCTTAAAAATCTGTGATAGTTTCCGAGATAGCTTATTGTAGCCGAAACTTTAGGGGGTCGTTTCACCTCCTAAATATGAAAATGGGACAAAATAAAAAAACACGTATATCTTATTTTTCGCTCCTTTAAAACATATTTAAAAATCAAAACAATCGGAGGCGGACACCTAGAAAAACCCTTCCTTGTAAGTAGAACTCTGAAAGTTTTGAGAATCATAGCATTAAAATTTTCGTATACTCGCAGCTGATTATTTACCATGAAATTGCCAGATGAGAAAGCGCACTGATAAAAACATCCAAATCTCAACGTTCGTGACATATCTGGCCAACTCCTCGCAGGAAGTTCGCGTTGCCTACAGTTTTTCGTTTTTGTTGTAGATAATAATGTGGCTGAAAGAAACTGGAATCACTGTCTGGCATTTACGTAACGTCATTCGCAGACGGGACAACTATAACCTTCGCGAAGTTCGCTTGGAGCATGACGGATATGATGGAAGCGTACAGGTGCTTGGATTGACTCCTCTCGGTGCTGGATTTTCGTTGCTCCTCGTCGGTTTATCGATAGCGACGTTTGTATTTTACTTGGAGCTTAAACATGCCGCGAAATCGACCTCTGTCCGCGAGATTCTTCGAGATATCGATAATAAACGGAAGTGCAAGAGGCGAAAGTGAAAGACACTCTGACAAACTCGACTAACTTGATTTCCATAGGAAAGGTGATTGTTTTCGTGGGTTCAAATTGAATTTTTAAGTTCATCTGATGTACCGTAGCGTTGAAATAACAGAATTATTTAAAAGGTCAATCGTTATTGCAAAATAAAATTGTTCAGAAGGTTCTGAATTTTCAATTTAAAATATACTATCCAAAAATCATTATTTCAAATCTGTCGTCTGATCTAAGTCTGAAGGTCGCCTAAGCAATTTAGAACGTGATTAACACAGTCCAAGAGTCAAGCAATCATTAACTCACCAGTCTTGTTAACTTCACGTCCTACGTAGGATACTGATAATAACATCAGATCGTTACGCGAATGGTAATTGCGGGATGGAAATATACCTACCCAGCAGTTTAAATGACCCTTGCACGAAGTCAGTCAGTCAGTCAGCCACTGTGCATCGCTCATCGCGGCTCGTGAAAGGCTTCTTTCTCGTCGAACAGATTAAACTTGAAACAAATAATAAGTGTCAAAGGAATCTTTTAAATTGCTTACAAATTTGAATCAATGAATTAAAAATACCAAAGTATCAAAGTCACGAATAACTGACAGCAACCGTCAAGTGTAGTTTCTCACCAAACGTTGAAAGTTCATATTGGATTTTATCATATTTGGATACTATCTTGTTTGTAAAAACGCTACTTACACATATCAAAAAATATTATAAGCGACGAGTTTTTATGTTAGCAGATATTGTTTCGCGACAAACAATGGCAAAAAAGAAACATATCGATGAACGTGAGTATCCTTTTGCAAGATGCTCCATTCATTATGATTTCTGTTTATTTTTGTACGTTAATCAGTTAGTTTAAAATAACCTATGGTTATGTTACATATAAAGTAAGATTAATCTAATTGTTGAAATAGTTCAACCAGCCACGGTGGACGAACATTTCAAACTGATTCTAGAAGATAGATCGGTCATCGATTCGGAATTCGTGAAAGTAACGCCGGACGACCTTCCAGAATGGTTCGACGAAAGGTTATTTAAATTGTAAGTATAAAAAAGCAGCTAGATCCATGAAATTCGATAATGTATGAACTGAAATTTCAAGTGACTGACGAACGTTCCAATTTTAGAGGTCAGGAATATTACCAGGAAAATTTGCTAGGATTCGCGACTGCACATTTAGCCGGGTTAATTGCGATATTGGCCGTTCCAGATATTCTAGAGGTAATCACATCGTTATCAGTTATAGTTTCTCATAAAGTTCCTTAAACAAACTCAACTCGATGGCTGTGAACAATATTATGCAATTGGTACAATCTTGTGAGCCAGGTGAAGTGCTGGGTTGTTCCTTGAAGAGGTGTCCCGCATATTAGTGTTACATCCTGTGTACCCTTATTGTTAAATGTAGGCTTTTGTCAGCTATTAACCCTCAGTTTTAGAGGAACTCAGGGAGGATCCTGAGAGGGTCTAACATTCTCCTGTTCGTTTAACTAAAAAACACTTGAACGAATGAATGTCCACAGGTGCTCCAGTACACGAAGCAGAACAGCACCGTCTCCTTATCCTTCAAGCGATTCTCGGAGACGTTGCTGCTCATGTACAAGTTGTTCAATGCCGACATGCTCGACCCGAATTCAAAGTGAGTTTCCAGAACGCATTCCGTGTTGGCGATAAATAAACGGATCCAACTGGTTACCTCTGTGCGTTTAAGGTGGTTCAAGGCGTTGAACGCGATACGATGGAAACACGCGAACGCCAGCAAGAAACGGATTCGGCAGGGTCTTCATGGGATCTACCAGAAGGATATGGCGATCACGCAGTTTGGCTTCATAGGGTATGTCTTCATGTGCCCTGAACACGTGGGACTGGCACATGGAAGACAGGAGCAACGAATGGGCTTCGATCATTTCTGGCGCGTCACCGGTCATCTGTTGGGCATAGAGGATCGGTAATCAAGTGTGTGGAAATGGATAACCAATCATCTTTATTTTTATTTTAATGAAATTTTTTAATCATCCAGGATAAACATCTGCAGAAGAACAGTATTAGAAACAACGGAAGTATGCAGAAAGATCGCAAAGGAGATACTTGTGAAACATATGGAGGATCCGGATCCAAAATTTCTGAAATTGGCATCGAATGCTATAAATGGCATGTGGTATGTCGATGCGACGATAAACGTACCAGCATTTCTTGATCTCACCTACAAACTGACAGGACTGAAATGTTAGTTTATATTCTATTTGAAATTTCTAATCGCTTTACGCGAAGTTAAATGGACTTGTCTGTTTTAGATAAAGAACCTCACGGATGGTACTCTTATTACAATATGAAACGACGTGAATGGTTATTATACTTGTGCAGTAAGTGACATAATATCGTCTCCTGCGGTTTGCTTAGAAACCACAGGACGAATGTTGTTTTTTATTTTTCAGTTAAGAGTAGATTATGAATTGACAGACTCTATTTTCCAGATATTCCTTATATCGGTAAAGTTACTCGGGTTATTTTTAATTATACACTGATAGTAACTTATTGGTTCCTCGAGAACTATCCTATAGCTGCTTGGATAGCATTTGGGAAAAAGAATTCGCAGCTTTGCCCATATCCAAAAATACAGTAATCTAATTTTCAAATAAGTTGAATTAAAATTAGATTAACAATAAGGTCGATAAAAGTAAACATTTCAAATGAATGGATTATTTCCCGCGTATTTATGAATTATGAAATATGATAAAGACTCAGCTTACCTTACGTCGATACTAATGAAATCATTCGACGTAATCAATGTTAATAATTCCGATCACTAGAGTTCGCTCGAGGTCTTGTAACAAATAAATTAATTATTCAAATGTGATTCAAAGCTAATTGAAAATTTTACAAGTTTAAGATCGATCGATTAATTTGGAAAAAGTAGATCGATCCTTACGAAATCTTTGCATATCGAAATCCAAAGATTTCAGAAATTTTAAAAAAAGGTAAATAGTATTATATTTTAATTAATGTAAGGAGAGGAGCGTAGATATTCGTGAAATGGTGCAATGCCTTTTCATTCTAGAAATCCATCATCAATTTCCCAGTCGTTTCCGAATTAAACGCTTTCAAGCTATTTCCTCCTCCGCAGACGGTCGGTGGCCATCAAAAAATTGGCCATTCTATCTGGTGGCGAGGCTACCTCGATATCCCTTTCCCTGTCCAGCACCAACGATAATTATCAGTCGCAATTTGTCTGGCACTGTTCCCCGCCGTTCTACTCCACCCACGAACACTGCTCGAATCTCCGTTGGTTGCTTGCGTTCGTCCATTCGGCCTGCCATTATCGGATCTTTTTCGATGGCCAACGGCGTCCTTCCCCTCCATTTCGCCGCAGGATCGGCAGGATCATTTTTTACGCGACTCGCGTGATTCCATGTTCGCCAACATCTTCGATGCGAGCTGGTTAGGAGAGATTCTCGCGTGAGAAGCGAGCAAAGGCTCCGCACACCTTCGCATACACCGTCTAGGATACACAATACCACCGCAAAACCAACACACCTACGTGCGATCGCGGAACGTGCACGAGGAAACGTACATACACACACCTGCTCGCTTAAGGTGCGTATTCACCGGTAAACGGTTCAGGAATACTGCTCGCAAACATTTTGAAACATTAGTAATCTTTTCAGGTACGCAACCCTTTATTTAAATGTGTAAGCATGGGCACTAGGGCTCGATACTCGAATAGGTATCCGTGCGTCGCCGACTTTCCGGACGAATTCTTCACATCTATCTGGAGAACACGCGATTCGTAGAAGGAAGAATTCGCGAGCTGCTTGCGAACACCGGTGGAGACGCACCTTTACATACACGTAGGAACGAAGGCGTATGTAACACGGTTCCCGAGTACATAATACACAGCCATATATCCTTCTGTCCCGTAGCTACTCTCCCTCGACCCTGTCGCCTCTCTTCACGGTTCCTCTCCTCGTTCCTTGGCTCACACCGGCCCTTGCTTTCCTCTCCGTTGCTCTTTCGCATCGCCGCAGCCAGAGGAGATCTCCCCTCTCGTCGTGCATCGCGGCGTCGGGTCCTCCTCGTTCCCTCTTTGCCGGCTTGCCACGACCTAAACGAGATGACTCGTCGCGAGAGGACAGAGGAGCGGCGTCAGAGGAGACGCTGCTGCTGCTGCTGGGTGCTGCCGTTACCGCTGCTGAAGAAGGAAGACGAGAAACCCGGGAAAGAAGGAGGGGAATAGGTATCAGAGGCCGTCCAACAGCGGAGAAAGAAGATGGCCCTGCGGCCCTCGTGTTGCACAAAGAGACCCGCGCGTCCGCCTCCTAAAGCTCGATCCATACTCGGTTAAGGCCCGTCGCGGACGAATGATTTTTCCCGAATTCCTGCAATCTTCCTGTGATATCGCAACGATTGCAATGATTACAATTCGATGATAAACGTATCTGCAACTGCACCGGACCTGACCGTAACCCCTTCCCTTTGAAATCGTTTTACCGCCTGTAATTTGGATGGATTTCGCCAGGGATATGGATACGCGACGTCTACGCGTAATGGCCGCAAATGGATTACCCTGTAGGCAGACGTAAGGTACGAGCGAGAGTGCAATGATTCCAAGCAGTTCAACGTTTGAATACACAGAAAGAGAGTTCTACGAGTCGAGTAATCAACGCAGATTCCATTTGTCTCTGTACGCTTCGCTCGTTACGTCACCGCCACCTTTCATACGCGTACCTACACCACGAACTCTTGTAAAGTAGATGAAATATCGCCGTGCATCGTATCGTGATATTACTCGTTATCGATATACGCGCGAGCGATGCGAATGATCTCTAGGTGACATACGACAGCGACACGAGAACACATCGTAATTTCGCATAGCTGCTCCACATTTTATCCTGGAACAATGAATTTTTCGTAAATATGAATTTGCTTCGCGATTCATAGGCGAACCATATGGAAATTTCAAGATTCAGCCGCCTCGAAACTAGGAAGAGAGACTCGGCTAGTGTGTCAAGGTTACAAATAAATACGCGTCGCTGCAGAAAGGGATCAATCTTTGTTAATCTTTCACGCGATTCGCGCGTTACGCAACCCGCGGTTGTATATTACATCTGTATTTGCATCTTTGTACGGGTACAGGTCTCGCGGTATTGAATGTCTCAATGCCTACTCGATTCTCGAAAATATTTGTCTTCCGTTCAGCCATGAATCCCGTATTTACGACCCCCGCGAACGCCGCGAGTTTCCTCCGTACGTGTGCAGCCATAGGAAAATACTCGAGCGAGTATTCGAGACGCGCGCATGCATAAATCATAGATCCTCCATTCTTCCGCCACGATCCTACTTACTTTCTTACTCACTTTAACCCTTCTGTTTTTTCAAATTCAACCTTAATATTCCCGTCATTTTAGAGTCGTAGGAACAGTTGCATTGATAAATTCTTGTTTCAATTCACGCGTCAGATTGATACGAGTGACAGTCGAAGGGTTCAATAATTTTTGCAATAAAAACTTGTTATCATTCGTGCGCTACTTTTTGTAATACCAAGAACTCTATCGTCATTCGTTTTGATTACTCTAACAAGGGTTAAAATTAGAAAGATTACTAGGAGACTGGTCGAGTCTGGTGCAGAAGCTATTATACCAGACATTATCTCGCAGGTGTGTGTAGCGAGTAAGAAGAAGAGGAGCGACAGAAATTCACGTAGCCCGGTAAGACGAGAACGTTCCCTGCTCGTTTAAGCTTTCGCGAGTCGCGTTGATAGCCAGAGGCATTGCGTACGATCTCCGCGGCATGGCACGGCACGGCGTATCGCATCCACTCGGACGACGCGCCTTTTTTCCCTTCCTCTTCTCGTTCCTGGCCTCTTCCTCACCGCCTTACCGTCTCCCGGTCCCGCTACTAACCCCTTCCATCCTCTTCATCCATCCAACATAGCTCCCTCTTTTCCCTTTCACCCTCGCAACGTGTCTCCTCAGCTCCCCCCTTTTCCTTTTCTTCTTTCTTTACGCGTCGTGGTTCGCGAGGTACGCGACCGAACGAACGAACGAACGAACGAACGAACCAAACGACTCCGACTCCTCTCTTTCTCTGGATGGGAAACGACTGTCCGATACTTTCGAGCCGGCGCAACGACGAGAAACGCGACAAAATGCGACCACCGCACGAAACAGGTACTCGGTGGCTCGATTAATTTTATACCGTTTACCGATTCGCTACGCCGACGTCGTGTCGTCGACGACTTCCCCCCGACACGGTGAAGATTTTGTCATTTTAGACACATTCGAACGTTCGAGATGAAGATTTCCACTATAATAGATATGCAAATGAACGATCGATGGTGATTACCGATTCAACGGTTAATTGACGGATAGTCGCTAATTACCTGGGACGACGAGGTTAGACGAGTTGAGTTTACGCGTTAGTACTCGTTACCGCTTGTTACGTAATCAAAATAATATGAATGTATTTCAGTAACACAGACAGTTCGTTGATCTTCGGTGTACTCTATTAATATATCAGGAAGAAATTCTTGGCTACTTAGAAGTCGCATCGTCGAGCGCACCACGGCGTTCCGTATCTTCCCCATCGGCGTAAGTATTTCCGTGTGTTGTGTTAACGGATATCGGAGAAACGAGACGGAGTTTAACCAGAAAGGGAACTGCTTTTCTCTTTCTTCGGATAAGAAAACGAGCGTCCGCCAATGCTTTCGAGTCGGCGCAACGCATCGCGACGACGACGACGACGGAGGACGACGACGACAAAGTGCGAGCAGTTGTAATGAGTTTCCTCGAAGTCCCTCTATTTCCAAGATTACATCGGAAGAGGGATACAGTTGAATTCGTACGCGTCAGCTTTTTCTTCGTTTGCTTCTACTTTGCCGTCTGCTACCGCCAGATGTAAATAAGGAAACGCGTTACTACGCGACGGAACTAATTACATGTTATGATAGCTGAACGTGAATAATGCATAATACTGCCGCCGAACGTGGCAGTGAATCCTGTTGCGAAATTCGCCCCGCTTCGGTAGATGATCGATTTCTTATAAAAACTACCACCGCGTTGCTCATAATATTTATGTCAAATAATGCTCCAAAATTAATAACTTTTGTTTTTTCTTTTTTTCCTCGAAAATAGCTCGACACATCGAAGAAGGGAATTGAAGAATCGAAAATTGATAGTATTCGTGAAAGAATGAAGCCGAATGGAAAGGTAGACACCCGGTGGATCGGAAGGGGCTGTTCCCGAGCCAATTAACGTAGTTACAGGGAGCAGAGTTCGAGAACACTGGATGTTTTTATTACGATTACGACAAGAAGGTAACGAGGTAACTGCATCAATCTTATTCGCAGTTATCCGTAACAATAATCAACTTATGTTCGGAAGGAAGGAAGGAAGGAAGTAAAGTGGAAGTTTCACTTTGCTTTTCTTAAGAGCTACGTAAATATTTTCATCGATATCGAGGTTAACGAATGCAATTATACACGTGTCTCCTGTGAGAATCATTTCAACCTTTCGCTGTATTTGATTTAAATGGACATTGAACTAGCTTTAACTCGTTAATATCGTCAGCTATTGTTTGAAACCAGGCAAAGGGTAATGAATTAGAAGACACCCGTTAGAAACCCTCGATTCTTCTTCCGGAGTTCGCACAAAAGAGCACTAGGCGAAAGCGAAATCAGCAGCAACGTAACTTTTAACGTAGGTATACTCCGGAGAAAATGAAGATTTTATAAATTAGAATGTTGTATCACCTAGTAACGATCATTAATCAATTTTTCTTGATTGTAACCGTGTAATAGAAAGTTCGTAGCACCCTGTATAATCGATGAAACGAACCCTTCGTGAATTCGTCGCTTGAGTCATAGCCAGAAAAATAGCAGGGTGCATCCAAATGATACTAACGATGTATGTTCTCTACACTCTGTTGCGGCTTTTCAAGCGATTCGAGCGTACTCGAACTTGAAATTTTATTCGAAAGCCAGAAGTCTTGAGAGTCTTGATCAAGACTTTCAAGACCTATCGAAACCTTACAAACTCAAGACCTGTCAAGACTCACGATTCACGACTTAAGACGTTCTAAGTGATTCGAATCCACATAGTATTGAAAAACTTTGGAGCGTAATCGATGATGGTATAAAAAGCAGAATACGTAAACTACATGGTACGTAAGAGAAAATGAAATAATTTGTTTCATAATATTTGCATAAACGTTCGCAATTTATTCATCTTTAATAACCCGTGTCGTTAATTACAGATTTACAATTATGCATAACGATACAACTCTTTCAAGAAAGTTAGAGTAGCTGATCGTTGTTTAACGAGAAAACGTAGTTGCATGATCATTGGTGTGTTTGAAAATCCATCGGACACCCGTTAGAGGTTGTAGCGAGGGGAGGCGGGCCAGGTGGTCCGTCGGTGCGAATATCCATTATAGATTCGGCGGAGTGTAGCTGTCGTACGATCCGACTCATTTTCCGTGTATTCGTGCGGCGTATATTTCTGGCATCGATGAGAGAGAAGCAACCGGGTACCGGGTATAGGGTACGTTTCTGTATTGGTAACGATTCGCTTGGTGTTTGTGTTGCTGTCGGAGCCGGAGCCGGAGCCGGAGTCGGAGGTACTGGGGTTAGTTCGCGAGGGCGCCTGTGTCGGCGCTCGCGGCGCCACCGGTTCATTCCGCCATCGGCGCCCGCGACGTACGGACGTGAAATAACGCGATCACGACAATTCGTTTGGGCGGACAACGTGAAGTTTAACGAACAAAACAATTATATCGCTATCGATAGACGGGCGTACCGTTCATAGAAACAAACAAGCTCGTGTCGAGGCGCGAGTGAATACGTAGAGAAAGAAATAAAGAGTCGGCATCGACAATAACGAAATTGCATAAGTGGTTCGTAGCGTGATTCACGGGTAACTTGTGTGAAATTAGTGCGACGAAGAGTCTTCAGTGATAGTATAATATGTATAAAATCGAGATATAGAGCGAGAGAGCGTGAGAGAGTGAGAGAGAAAGAGATAGGGCATCGATTGTCCTTTGTGCGATCGTCGTTTAACGGCTTCTCGTTTCTTCGGGACGCCACCAACCCGGGAGGGACACGAACGGAGCCGATACAATATTTTTCGTCTGTTCCGTGCCTTTCTTCAGTTCGTTCCGGGCCCCGAAATTGCCAGTTCTACGCCGTGTTTTACCTGCGCGTCCCTCACGCATACAACCGAAGGTCTTCTGTCGAAGGTCTCGTCCCGTGTGTTGGGAGACGTGGAATGATATTACAATTTCGTCGAATCGAAGGTGCAGCCAGGCTGGTTAGGCGCGACGTGACACGCGAACGGAGTATTTGACAACGGTAGGTAAGAGAACTACGGGTGAGCACCGACGAAAACGAAGCCGCACTTTTAGACACGGGAATAATAAAATATTTATTTATTTGTGAAACACGCGAGTTTGTTTCGTTGTTCGTTCGTTTGATAAGTGGTGCCGGGGGGAAAAAACGCAACGGGGGGGGGGTATCGTTGATATGTCAGCTTGTGACAGACGGTTGTGCATCGGTGAATAAGGAAATCGATAGATCGTAAATCGATAGGTGAGGTCGTTAGTGTTCCTTCGATCTTATTCGATACTGTGCTCGTCTGATTCTGTTGTACGATCGGGAAAAGTGCAAGGAAGATTCACGGTTGTTAAATACGACACACGAGGAGCAACGAAATTCATTAGGTAAGATATGATAATTCATGCACCACAATTAACAATGAATGTTAGGTTATCCCTGTAAATAATGTCATTGATCGGCTTCGAGGATTTTGAATTTTTTAACCCCTTACGGACGATGCACGCATATGTGTTCAAACATAATTGTCATAGTAATTTATAATTAATACATATTGAGTTATATTCTTGATACAAAACGCGGCTCGAAGCGTAAAAAATAAAGATTTATAATATATTCTTTGAAGAATGGAATTATTATTTCTTTTATTTTAAATTAATAATATTCTGTGCTCGGTTAGGAACGCTCCGTCCCTAAAGGGTTAATGAAAATTTAACATAGTGTAAAAAGTCATAGAAAAATAATGAATTGAGAGGAATTATTTATGGGATAAAAAACGTGAAACTTGTTAAAGTATTATCTAAATATAAGAATGATTACTATTGCCCATAAACAATATTTTATTGGAGTCAAGAACATTTTAAAAAATCTTTGAAAAAGTAGTCTGGACGTGTTTCTTGGAGTACCGAATTCCATTGTTCGATTCGTCGATCGCGTTCGAAACATCTGAGAGATTAGCATCGATGACGCTTGTGTTCGTTGCGATTAACGGTTGTCATTCTTCTCCGAAGAACACTCGAAATTTCTGGTTAAAAACGAACCGGGGGCATCGGTGTTTCGTGAGGATCTTTCAAAAGGTATCGTGGAATCGAAGGGTAGAGACAAAGAGATGTAAAGGTTGGGATTGAAAACGTGGGTCTTCGGTTCGGAGGATCGTGGAAACGTTGGAGCGTTCTGAACGCGATGCAACGGTGACGCAATTTTCGTGCAGGTGCAATTACCACGAGCAATCACGGGTTAACGTCAGCAAAATCGAGAGCCGTCGTCGTAACGGGTCTTCGTTGGTTTCGCGAGCGCGAACGCCGTTTTACCGTTAACGACCTAAATCGACGCGAAGAAACGAGATATATACGCGCCGTTTCGCGACTTCTCGCAGAGAGAGCACTTCTTTTCTTTGCGTCGAGTGCCGCTCCACTGGAGACCACCGACTGGACTTCGTTCCTACCAAGATTCTACTCTTTTCCACGATTTTTCAGACTTTCCATTCGATGGAACACTTATGTTCAACGATATTTCGTTTGAAATCTTCGAAACGCCCACCATTAGACTTCTATCCGTTTCGGAGCAGGGAAACAGCTATAGATTTAAATTCCGCAGGGTCGATTTGGACCTTAAATAACGTATTACTCGTCGGTGATATATTTTCGAGTGTTGCGAGCGTTCAAAGTAGCGAGGAAACGTGGCGGATCGGATTTTGAACAGAAATTGGCAGGTGTTCGCGAAACGTTCTAAATTTGTAACCAAATTTGCTGCCACGAGATCGGTTCGAGGAATCGTATGTACATCGAATTGTACGTGTCTTTATCGATGGATAGGTAACCGTGTAGATAGCGAGGGAAGGAGGGGAGGATCGGTCAAACGATAACGCAACGGAAGGACGTACAAACCGAGATATAGCCTCTCATTCGGCCATGTTTAGCCGCGTTCTGGTTTTCTAGCAAAATTCCGGCCTCCGCGTCGTAATCTCGGCTCGGGTGCACCTTACGTCGATGACAAATAGATCGATAACGTTCGAGAAACAGTTATCCCGACACTCGATTGCCTTTTCACGCAGACGCTTCATTTCCGCGTTTCTTCTCACCGATCTGCCGATCTTTTCGAGCGTAACTTTGTGGTGAATCTTTCTTTCTTCTCTACGATCGGATACCAATCTCTATTGAACAAAGAAACACAAATTTCTCGTTTCTATTTTACATTATATACATATAGAAATTTGTTTCCTTTAGTTATTCGTTAACGATCACTGCTCGATTCAGTGTTCGAGTATCAAGAAAAATGCTAAGCGTTGACGGTCAGAGTTTCAAAATATCCCCGTCGAAGTACATTTCGGACAGAACTACCTCCCTTGGTCATTCAAGCTGTGTCGTGGCTGATTGTTTCGATCAGCCTACCTGGCTCGCTCGTGAACGTCCGGTTTTCAGTTTACTGCTGATCTTTGAACGCAGCTGAAGGAAAAAGTAAACTCGTCGAGTCTCCTCGCTTTAAAATAGTTCTTAGTTCACGTGGAAACGTAGATTCACTCTTCGTCTTAATGTTATATTAATTACCTACATAAGATAGCAAGTGCAAAGCATAACGCACGGTTGTTTTTATCTTCGATACGTGGCATCGATGACCCACGTATTAAAACCAGATACACATGCGCGTGTTTTGTCTCCTTTTATCGAACTCGTTGAATTGATTCATTAGATACCGAGAGTTAGCCTAGTTATCGGTAAAATTTTCGCGTTCTCCGTTGAGACGATAATGGTATCCGTTGGAAGATGATAAATAGACAAAGAGGGCGTATTTTCCGTGCAAGGATCGATAGTCTTACGAAATCGAAACGTGACTAATGACGGAAGAGACGACGGTGTCGCCGTTGCTCGATCAACGTATGTAAGTCAGCGTTCGCATACGTGTACGGTTTAAATGGTCTTGCAGCTGATAATTGGTTGAACGACAATTGCACAGAAACGAGGAAACATTAGATTCAGCGAATGTAAACGACGCGTTAACCCTTCAACGTTGATGAATCTCGTGACTAACCGGCGTAATCCGTGGAGCGCAATTAGCATACATGAATAAAGAATCTATGAATCCTTTAAGTCGGTTACCGAACGCCTCGTGAATGAATAAATGTTTGTCACCCAACTGGCCGTGTAATCTGAACTTTGCTATGGAATTCAATCGATTCGTGAAATATCGCTAAGCCCTAGCTGGCGATGATAAATTTTCTCAAAGTTGTTAGTTTCGGAGCAATTCAATTACCGAGAGGACTTATAATCACCGTTAGGGAATCGAGTATTCGTATCTAGAGATACGTTTCAGAAGATTTCACCGTTTTAGATAAATAGCTCGTCGCGTCGACCTTGTTTCATCGCTTGGCCCAGTAGTCGATACGAAAATGCGGCTCGTAACTGTGTTTCGCCAACCACGCGCAGTTTCCTCGAATAACACATCTCGGGAAAGATTGTTGGCTCGCGATCTTCTCGTAAAATCGATTCGCCTATGACGTGTGAAAGTAAGAAAAAGAAGAAAGGATACACCGTTCACTTGGAGCAGCCTTTTAACAGCTCTCTCTCTCTCTCGGCTGGCTCCGATCGTTGGAATTCGTTTCGATTGGTAAAAAGACAGAAACGAATGGAAAAGTGATTGGTTTGATAGACTAGCGTGTACATTAATACCCCGTTAAGTATCGCGATTTGAAGCCGCGGCACGACACTTATCCGGGGGATGTAGAAAATTAGAAAAAGGATAATTCTGCGTTCTTTAAAAGAGCATTTACTGTAATTCTTCTAACGCAGAAAGTATCGCGGATATACGGGAGCGACTGTTGCCGTTTAAACGGCCAGGTATCGAGCATAATTTTCTATCTGCCTACGACGCCCCGTAAATTGATCGAGGTTACATGTCGAGCGTATTTCGTTATACGAAGGGAAAAAGACTGGCGTATATACGGTTGGAACGATTCTCAGCCGCTTATTACGGACGGGGCTTCGTGTTCGGTCACGCAACGCGGCCTCGTGGTATCGTGGGACTCGGCTGTCGAATGAACTCGTTTTGCGAACAGAGAAAGACCGAGGCCTGACGGTGGTGTGCGGCGGTGCTTGTGTCCACGTTTTCGATGGAAATCGATCGTCCTAGTCGTCGTTGAAAAACGTTCAACGTTCGCGCTCGCTACGACGAGGAGACGTTACGTGCTAGCTCGACCTTTTCCCCGAGCCTCTTATACAGAGCCTTCGTTCCAGGGGTGGCAAAAAGGGTCTCTCTCCATCTCCCTCTCTCTATCTCACCCTGGCCTCCTACCGACTCCTTTTTACCCCTCTTTTTCTCGAACGTGGCGCCTCCCTTTTCTTTCTATCTTCTCTCGTTTTCCCTCCTCTTTTCCCTCGCTAGCTCGCTTCCTTTCTCCGCTTTTCGTATCGTACTCTTTCTCTTTCCATCGGATGTCGGTCCGTCCCTGTCACAGTTCTCGTTCTTTGTCGCGCGCGGCTAACTCGCTCGCACGACGACGACGACGACGACAACGACGGCGACGAGGAACGAACGAACGGGGCGAGTTCCCGAAATAATCGTGCGTATCGATCCTCACGCGGGGCGTGCAGGGTGAATTTATTCTCGTGCACGGGGAGAACGAGAGACTCGTACAAGCTCGCCTCGTTACTTAATCGTTCCGCGTTAGAAACGAAGGGTATTATAGCGTTGGAAACTATATAGCGAACCCGTCTACTCCCGCTCTCGTTTGCCCGCGAACTCTATATAACGCCCTCTTTGCCGATGACACACGCGCGAAACAACGCTTCGTGCAAGATATTCGGGATAATTGCACAGCTGCAAATAAATCGTACGCATCGTTTTCCTATGCGAAACGATGGAATATGTGTTGTGCATTCGTGGATTCTTTATATTTTTAACCCTAGAGTGGGCGAGTACGGTCGAACAGACCGACACGATAATTAACGCTAAATGTTTTACTTGTTATTCAATAAATAGATGATTATTTTGGTGCAAGAATTATCATTTTCTATTGGTCAGGTAGTCGAACCAGACGGTTCGGTTTGGAAACCGCTGGCGCATCTGTGAAGTGTTATTTTTCCTCCCCACGAGACAAAGGCATTATCGTTCCTCGATATTCGTGGCAGCACCGGTCGTTAGATCCGCTTCGGAGCTGCTCCTCGTGACACACGGAAACGCGTCTGCTCTCCTCTCGTCCGTTTCCGTGTCGTGTTCCTCGCGAACGTGCCGTGTTTCTCCGACAAAACTTGATCCTAGAAACGGGGCAGTGATCGTTTTAACGAAAACCTCTAGCCTCCCTCGTGTGTCGCATTCTGGCGCGAAGTCAGAACAGTCTGTACGTGCTGAAAATCCGGACTTTTTACCGTAAACCACTGTGAAAACTAGAAATCGCGTTGTACCGAGATCGGATTTAGTTCTCGCGATATTTGTAACGGAACGTCGCGACAGTAAGAGCCACGATTTATCGTCAGGTGAAGAGATAACACAAAACGGAAAGGGGCGAGCCTAGAATTTCCTCGGCGCCCGGTGAATCAGACGAGAATTCGCGTGTTTACGCGAAAGTCGTTAGGAAACGCGATCCGCTTCGTCTTACGACTGCTTTCCTTATTTTTCTACCCATCTGTATCGCGTGGTAACGAGCACAGACCCCCGTTGGATCCTTAGTCGATTCCATTTTTTCATTTTTTTTTTTTCTTTTTCTTGTCGTGGCGTCGCGGCGCAGAGAAGAACCCTTGCGCGTTTTTTCGCGGGACATTGTTCGCGGCGCGCGTTTTGTCCGCACGTCAGCCATCACGGTGTATTGTATTCATTGTTTAGAGGCCGTTGGAGCTCTCTCGGCCGAGAAGACGAAGAGAAGGGCAGCAGCAGCAGTAACACAGCTAAGCTAAGGCTCGTCGTAACGGAGTACGGAGGAAAGGAAAACTCACCGTTCGCCGGCTTATAGACGGCGCTCGGCTTTCTTTCTTCTTTTTCTCTCGGCTCCCCCTCTCTCCCCGCCCCTCCCTTTCACCGGTCTCTCTCTCGGGGTTTGCACGAAATCGCGTGTCGCCGCTACCCGTACCGCGTAGAAATGTCGCCTCCTTCTGATCGCGACGTTCCGTGATCGCAGCTGTTCCTCCTTTTTATGCGGTTCCTCGGGAAATTCGATTTCTGTGCAAACCAGTGAAATCAAGAAGAAAACCACGGTCACAACGAAACGAGAAACTCGAACAACAACGTCGTACAAGTTGGCGAAAAAGGAAGGCAGAGAGGGCAGAAGTGATAGAGAGAATCGTCACCGGCGAGAAATTGAGACAGAGAGATCGTGTTTGCCGAAGAGGGAGAGAGAGAAGAATAATCAAAGTGGGAATACAAAGAGAGGCAGTGAGAGAGGCTGGTTGTGATATACAGATACACATGGATAGAGAAACTCGCGTGTGTAGAGACGTACGTACGGCCCACACGGAGTAGGACAAAGGGCAAGTGCGAGACAGAGACGCGATAAAGGACGGAGAAGAGAAAACTGGAAAGGATGAGTCCGATTCGTCAGTGATCGAACGTGGGTCTCTTTTGGTGCGTGGGTGAAAGAGTTGTGTGTGGAGAAAATTGACGGAAGAAGAGGAAGGAAAAGCGGCGAACGGGTGGACGCTCACTTCCGGCGGACGACAACAAAGGTACAGAGAACAATTTCATTTATCAAATTAGTAGTATACTCAGGGTAGAGTCGCTTATGTCGTACTGATCGTTAAAAAATCACGTATTAATCATTCGGGCGACTCTCCCCATGAGTCAACTTTCAAATAAATAATACGAAAGTCGCCCTTGACAATCAGCTGGTTAGATTAGATTAAGTTTATGTCACGCGAAACTAGAGCAATTGATGGCGGGAGTTGCTTACGGTATTCGTAACTTTGCGTTCAAGTTATAAATGCCTGTCCCCCATGTAAAATGTATCAGCACGGTGCAAATTAGCAAAGTTGCTTTCCGAGCGTGCCGCTACAGGGAATTCAAATTAGGAAAGCATTTACATCGTTTAAAGCGATTACTTCCGAACGTGAATGCAGATTTCGGTAATGACGCGTTTAACGGTTAATTATGACGTATTTCGTTATTCCACCGGTTTCGTAATTATTTATCGTTACATTAACGGAGAATTCATAGGAAACGAGCCTACGACTCGATTAATCGATATTGAATTACCAAACAATCATCGTGATTCATGATCGGAGATGATGTCTCCTATTTTTAATCGAAGCACAACTTAACGAAAGGTTTAAGGAAATCTCAGGGGGAAAATTCGAATTTGATCCTCTCGTTCAAACGAATTCTTGCGTAGAGAAACGCGCTCGTAAAAGCTCGAGTTACAACGACGAGGCTATCGTACAGAGAATAGTTACACGGTTACGAGAGATTCAAAAGTTTCCCGTTTACCGTTAGTAATCCTCAGGACCGCCTCCGTTAGGGTCGTTCTCGAAGTCGAGTGACCGTAGGCAGTTTTAGTACGTGCCATTAGACTGTGCGATCCGTAGACCCGGGTATTTCAGACCGATAAAATCCCGAAGGAAATAGCTGGTTATTTAACCGGTGAAATAATCGTTTTTAAACAAGCGTCTACTTCATTCCCGGTTTCAAATCTCTGCTTCGTTTATACGTCCGTAGAGTTGTACCAGTCGCTCTCTGTTTAATTAAATAATCCGTGTTATTAGCCGTAATTTTTGAACTATAATAACCAGTGTAAACTATTTTGATGAATACGCTGAAACGTTAGACGTTTCGGTCGAAAAGCGATTTAAATGACAATGACCCGGCAGAGTCAAGTCCTCTGCTCGCTGTACTCCGACCGCTACTCGTTCTCGCTATTATGTTAATGAGACGTATTGTCGGTAATCATGGCGGTACATCTTCGTTCGTTCGTTTAGCGAACGTTTGTCTCTTCACGATTCTTCGATTCGACTAATCTTGTCTTTGTAAACAGCTCGAGCACTTAGGTCTTCTAAGTGCAATGGTTGGTACTCAATTATTCAGCGTTAAAAATTACATAGAATGTTATATAATTATCTTAGCACTATTCTATGTTATACATCCCCGCAATAAAACGAGTGTACACCCATCGAACTTCGAATCACAGGTATCTATTTCCCGTGAAAAAAGGAAAAAAAAAACAGGAAAAAGCGGGTGTGTAACGTGTTTCACGAAATTCGTTTTGTTTGCAGCGATGCCATTCATTCTTTCTCTCTTTTTTTTTGTTCCATATTTATTGCGTAATGCTTGAAATTTTTGTTACGGCCCGTAGTCACGTTGGTCGTTACACGGTAGCGCCGGTTCGAAAATCCCCGATTATATCGACGTCGTTATTCACGACGACACGCGACAGTTGCGTTGCCGCTCGTTACGTCTCCGGGTATCCATGGTTTTTAGAAATTTCGAATTTCCAACCGTTTCATACGTTTCCCTCTTATTTTCCCGAAGTAGATTTTCTTAATTACGCGAGCACCCGATTTTCTGCAATCTATGTATCATAGAAATTTCGAAAAAAAAAAAAAAAAAATTGATCCCTGTACGAATATTTTCTACGTCCAACGGTATCTCTCTGTTTGCACGTATGTATATTTTCCGATCTGTTCCGCAAGGGCCGAGCGTGCACTTTTTATTTCCGGCGCGTTTAAAAACAGTACGAACGTGCTGACGGTGCGCGAACTTTTTCACGCAACGAAGAATAAATTGGCGCGGCCGAATGATTGCGCGAACCCTGTTCCTAGAACGCGACCTGTCGAGGAAAAATTTGTACCCGCATCCACGAAGGTAAACTATACGAAGAGCCGAGTGTGTCACACTCGCAGTACCCTTCGTGATAATCGAATTCTCGTAACGGTTAACGATGTCTATCGATTCATTACGACATTAGATGTCGCCCCTCGCACAGAAAGGGGAGAAACGCGTTTACACCGAAGCTGTCGCGTGATCGATACCAGCCCGACCGATCAACTACCCTGTTATGCACAGCCTGTTTGACGTGCCCTAAAAAACTATAGGATCATCCACGAAACGGTTCATAATTTATAATACCTATTTATCCTTTCAATTTTCCTATGCCAATGCAATTTCGTATGCACCGTTGCAGAAATGCACTCCGCAAGATTTCTCGCTCGTTTCCAATAATCGCGAGTCTGGTGTTCACTTAAAATAATGATTATTCGATGCATTTATTGCATTGACCTTGCCGCTGGTACGACACGGTTCGAGATATCGCTGACGGATATTACACGGTACAATGGAACAATAGGGCGACGAGTGTGAGATCGTGATCGTGCACGTACGTAAAGGTATAATAAACGAGAATGTATTTAGCAACGCGCGACTCTACGGTTCGAATCACGGCGATACGTATACACGTGAGTTTGGTGAAACGTGGATGACGATGGTGAGCGGGTGGGCGTGTTGGGTCACTGGTCGGGGTGACAATGTTGCGCCGTTAAAGGGTGAGAAAGAGAAACGGACAGAAGGAACAATGGAATCCAGAATTATTAATGCACGGTTTAATTAATCGCTTGAAAAGTACGACCGTTAACGTCCTTACGCCGACCGTAATCTATTTTGATTAAGATTAATTAATCAATTATACGGTGAATTACTAAGTCTTGGTCCGCGAGACGATTGTGAATTATTTTTACATTTCATCGGGGAAAATCTCGTCCTTTATTCCATGGTAACAAACCAAAATGATATAATTTTTGACGCTTCCTAAGGATTCCTGGATAGAAAAGTAATAAAGGTTTTCCATTCGATTCGTTTTTCACGATAACGACGCATCGTGCTCGCGGAATCCGTTTCGTGCACGAACGCGACAAGTTTTTTTCGTTCTTGATGAGACGAGAAACGAGCGAACAGGAAGTCAAAGTGCAGTTAACGTGAGTAATTAACGTACACTCGTTTCTCGACATTTTAGCCGTTGCATCAAGTATCTTTCCTTTCGTGTCCGTGATGTTTTGCTTGCATTATTTTGCAATCTTATCGATACAATTAATAAAGTTGAGATTTCATTTAAAGGATTCAACAGCAACTTTGTTGAATAATAAGCAAGCATGAGTTGCGATATGCGTTTCTTTATCGGTGTATCTTTGCTCAGTCTGCGTAGAGTGAGGTCTCAATTATTCGAATGAATATTATAATTAGAATAACATCAAGTGGTGTGAAAATAATTATTTCGAAAATGAGACGAGAGTGATTGTCTTACAATTTTTTTGGGGAGACTGCTTGTAACTATACTAACGTTTCAGAAATAATATAAAGAATAAGAAAGTATAGAGATAAAGATAATAAGTAATATACACATAATGTGTGTGATGAATTATATTTTAACATGTAAACCTAGTTATCCAGCCACTCTTGTAATCAATTAATTCGGATAATCAACCTTCTACTGTATCATAACGTCCGACGTAACGAAGCCGGAGCTTAGAGATCGCGCTGTTTATCTAATTATCATATAATCTCTATAATACCGGTCACGCGATCGAAAGGAACAATTTAATTCGCTCAACCTGTGTAATTATCGGCGAACCTCGAAACTGGAGCGATTTAATTTCTCCGCCTGTGTCGAGACGGATGAAGCCGATAACGGAGTCGTCCGTTTGTTGGTTCAAAAGTGATACACGCATTAGATTACGCGGCAGCTAGGCCAATTATTCGTTCCGCGACACCTTAGTTTATTCCCTTTGGCCATTTCTTAGATGCTTGTTTGCGTCAAGAAACACTGTCACTGATCCATAATTACTCTTTAACGTCAAAATGACTGGCTTCAAGCTTCTTATTTTAAATTATAAATTTTATCGAAACATTTTTGTTGAAACGTATATTGTCTGTTGTCGAGATAGAGAATGGATGAATCTTGCGGCTAGGTTTCTTTACGAATGTTCGTATCAAAGAATCACCTCTGTAAACCACGAGCATTACTTTTTGTTCACCCAGTAGGTACCTGCTCGCACGCGATTCCATATAAGAAGGTCGATGGTAACGCCTAACGTGCCTCCTGAAACTCGATACATGTGTGGCACGGATTCATGCCACACGAGCGGGCACACGCACGAACTTACACTATCCCGTAAATGTTCTTGCCTTGCGTCTTTGTACGAAGCTCAATCACGCGCGCGCATACACACACGCGCGCACACATCGAGATCCTAGTTCGCTGGCAGCTGCTTGGAAAAAAGAAACCCCAAAGCCGTCCTTTTGCGGCCCTCCCAAAAGATATCCTGGCCCTCCGTGCTGCTATTCAAGCTTCGAAAACGGAAGAATACGAGGAGCGTTTGTCTTGGCGCTACGCTCCGTTTCGAAGCGTGACAGCCGGATATTGGTAAACGACGAATGCGTGCTAGCCTACGGAAACCTCCGGAAGATCGTGAAACTCGGGAAAATCGAAGCTTTCTCCATGCATTCGTGGATCTTTTTTTTTTAAGATTGAAAGTAATCCTTGTTTCGGAGCATTCTTGTTGCTGCAAGTTTTGCCGCTCGATAACGGCGGAAAAGGATCGAGAGCAAAAGCGTAACCGCAAAGCAAGCTGGAACTGTGTACAGCCGTGGTTTCGCGGATCGTTTCGTAGATAAAATACGGTTGAGGACGTAGCGAATGTAAAGAAAAGAAAAATCAAGCAGGGACCGACGTTAATTACGACAT